GCCGACTTTCGCTCAGGTCATGATCTCGCGGTTCGTGGGTTCGAGCCCCGCGTCGGGCTCTGTGCTGACTGCCAGCTCAGAGCCTGGAGCCTGTTTCAGAGTCTGTGACTCCCTCTCTCTATGACCCTCCCCTGCTCACGCTGTCTCTCTCTCTCTCTCTCCAAGAAATAAATAAAACATTAAAAAAAAAAAATACCCAGAAATAGAAAGAATGGATCATTTGGTCCTTCTATTTTTAGTTCTTTGAGGGACCTCCACACTGTTTTCCCGAGTGGCTGCACCAGTGAACGTTCCCACCAATAGTGTTCAAGGCCTCCCTTTTCTCTACATCCTCACCAACACTTATTTCTTGTCTTTTTAATACTAGCCATTCTGACTGGTGTGAGGTGACGTCTCATTGTGGTTTTGATTTGCATTTCCCTGATGAGTAGTGATGTTAAGTATCTTTTCATATGTCTGTTGGCCACCTGTCTTTGGAAAAAATGTCTATTAAGGTCCTCCACCCACTTTTTGATCATGGTATCTCCCCTGCCAGGTAGGTATCTCTGCCCACTTTTTAATCAGATTATTTGGTTTTATGGTGTTGAGTTGTAGGAGTTCTTTATATATTTGGATACTAGCTCCTTATTGGATATATCATTTGTAAATATCTTGTCCCTTTCAGTGGATTGCCTTTTTATTTTGTTGATGGTTTCCTTCTCTTTGCAAAAGCTTTGTAGTTTCATGTAGTCCCAATTGTTTATTTTGTTTTTGTTTCCCTTGCCTGGGGAGACATATCCAGAAAAATATTGCTAAAGTTGATGCCCAAAAGATTACTGTCTATGCCTTTTTTAGGAGTTTTATAGTTTCAGGTCTTAGATTTGGCTCTTTATTCCATTTGATTTTATTTTTGTGTATGGTGTAAGAAAGTGATCCAGGTTCATTCTTTTGCATGTAGCTGTCCAGCTTTCCCAACACCATTTATTGAAAAGACTATTTTATCTGCATTGTATATTTTTGCCTCCTTTGTCATAGATTTACCATATAAGCACAGGCTTATTTCTGGGCTTTGTATTCAGTTTCATTGATCAATGTGTCTGTTTTTGTGCTTTGAACACTATAGCTTACAGTATAGTTTGAAATCTAGAATTGTGGTACCTCTGTCTTTGTTATACTTTTCAATATTGGTTTGACTATCTGAGATCTTTTGTGGTCCCATGCAAAATTTAGAATTATATGTTCTAGTTCTGTGAAAAAAATGCTTTTGGTATTTTAATAAGGATTGCACTGGGTAGTATGGACATTTTAACAACATTAGTTCTTCCAGTCCCTAGGCATGGCATATCTTTTCATTTATTTGTGTCATCTTTGATTTCTTTCAACAATGTCTTATAGTTTCCAGAATATACATCTTTCACCTCTTTTGTTAAATTTGTCCCAGAGCGCCTGGGTGGCTCAGTTGGTTGGGTGTCCGACTGGCTCAGGTCACGATCTCACGGTTCATGGGTTCAAGCCCCACATCGAGCTCTGTGCTGACAGCTCAGAGCCTGGAGCCTGTTTCGGACTCTGTGTCTCCCTCCCTCTCTGACCCTCCCCTGCTCACGCTCTCTCTCGGACTCTGTGTCTCCCTCCCTCTCTGACCCTCCCCTGCTCACGCTCTCTCTCTATCTCTCTGTCAGAAATAAATAAAACATTAAAAAAATTAAACTTATTCCTAGGTATTTTGTTCTCTTTGATGCAATTTTAAATGGGGTTGTCTTCTCAATTTTCCTTTCTGCTATTTCATTATTAGTGTATAGAAACAGAACAGATTTCTGTATATTGATTTTGTATCCCACAACTTGACTGAATTCCTTTATCAGTTCTAATAGATTTTTGGTGAAGTCTTTAGAGTTTTCTGTATGCAATATCATGTCTGCAAATTGTGACAGTTTTACTTCTTTCTTACCAATCTAGATGTCTTGTATTTCTTTTTCTTGTCTAATTGTTGCAGCTAGGATTTCCAGGACTATGTTGACTAAAAGTGGTGAGAGTGGACATCTTTGTCTTATTCCTGATCTTAGGGGAAAAGCTTTCAGCTTTTCACCATGGAGTGTAATGTCAGCTGTGGGTCTGTCATATATGGTCTTTATTGTGTTGGGGTATATTGCCCCTCTTCTGACTTTGCTGAGAATTTTTATCATGAGTAGATATTAAATTTTGTCAAATGCTTTTTCTGAATCTGTTGAGATGATTGTATGATTTTTAACCATCGTTTTGTTAATGTGGTGTATCTTGTTGATTGATCTGCATATATTGAACCATCCTTGCATCCCTGGAGTAAATGTCAATTGATTATAGTAGAATTTCCTTCCTTGTAAAGGCTGAATGTTTCATTGCTTATATATGCCACATTTGTTTATTGATTCACCCACCCTTTGCTAGATCTTGTATAAGTCTATGTTTAATTTTTTGAGGAATCACCATACTGTTTAGATTTGTTTTTAAGTGCATTTTTTTTTCTTAAGTAAGTGCTACACCCAACATGGGGCTCAAACTCACAAGAGTTTGCACACTTTACCAACTGAACCAGCCAGGCACCCCTTTAAGTGCAATTTTAAACCACAGTAGTAACATGATCTGGTTAATAGTTTGAAGAGATAACGCTGCTGCTCACTGCGGGTGTTATATGAAGAATGGCTAGAAAGAGTGGTATAGAGTAGAGGCCAGGAGACCAGCTAAGACATCGCTGCTGGGGTGACAGTGGGGGTGGAGAGAGAGAACTGGCAGTACTGACTGATGTACTGACTGGTGGGTGAGAAGAGGGAAGAGTCCAGTGTGACTCCTAGGTTAAAGCAGCTGGAGAGATGCTGCTACCATATACTAACACGGGGAGACTAGAGGGGTGCAGGCTGGGAGGAAATCTGCAGTTCCATTTCAGGCGTGTTAGGTTCATGGTTCTGTTAGACACCCAAGTGAAGACGACAAGGCCAGGAGAAAAAGACCTAGGAGCCATCTGCGCAGAGATGGTCTTTCAAACCATGGGACTGAGGAAGGCGTGTGTGTTAGAGGTCACAGGAGTCTCATAGACTCCAGCCATGAGGAATGGGGCTGGGTTGGGGTAGTGGGGTATTGAACCTGAATTAGGAGGAGGGTAATGTCTGGGGGACATAAGAGAGTATGGATGGGCTCACCTGTGTCTCCACCTTCAGCTCTGCTCTACTCATCTCTGGGGCACGTGTCCAGTGGGTCCAAGGGTAATACAGGAAGGAGGGCAGTTGTCTCCCAGCCCAGAAGGGCGCGAGGCTGATGCTCAGAATCCTCAGGTCCACCTGAGACTGGAAGGAAGGCGTGGGAGGAGGGCTCTAGAGCTCAGCACCCCCTGGGGTTCACAGCTCAGCACTTCACAGTCTCTCACCACAAAACCCACTTCCTGTGATGCTTTGTCCTTGGGTTATCTCCACCACCATGAACTTCCTCTGAGCAGTTAAGCAAGTTCTTAGGGGAAACATCATCCACGCTGAGAAGCTGAGGCTCCCCTCGGGGTTCCTCCCTCCTCCTTCCTGTTAGAGCCAACCCTTGGGGCTATACTTGGATTATGAGTCTAGGAGCTTCTTGAGGACAAGACCCACACCTGGCTCACCCCTGCCCTGGATCATGTCTGGCACCTGGGCAGGGTGTCAGCACGTGTTTGGTGAGTGACTCAAGCTGCCAAATGAGGCTAATTTTGACTTATAAACATCAGGGACAATACTCCATATTTCAGAATATTTTAATCTTCGTAGAAAAGATTAAGTAAGAAAGTCAACATGTGTGCACCTAGTTCAATGACTGGCACATAGTAGGTGCTCAGGTATTTGGGCATAGTGTGTGTGTGTGTGTGTGTGTGTGTGTGTGTGTGTGTGTGTGACACAGAGAGAGAAATCAATCACACACTCCCAAAATTGATTCCAGGCCCCACAGTTTGTATATCACTGAGTGAGGCCTCAGCACTGGGCTGATCCCACAGCCCAAAACAGAAAGGACACACTTGTCTGTCACATATGCCATCTACCTCCTCTTCTGGAACTGTAGGCCACTGCAGGATAGCAGTTAATAAATCATAAGTAATATTTGGAATATGTCTCAGGGTGGATTGCATCAGAATAGAGCTATTTTTAAAGCCCTGAGGATTTCAGATGAATAACAGGGCCATGAAGTGAGCCCCCCGCTCAGAAGGAGCTGAAACTCTCAACAGAGCCACTCCTCCCTCCCTTCAAAGCTTTCCCCACCTCTCCACAAATCCCCAGGATGCCTGCCCCCACTGCAGGCTCCCCCCCAGCCCTGCATTACCTCCGGCAGGTCACCTGCCCTAGAATCACCACTTCCGCGGGTGGCAGGCTCACCACTGTGCCCAGCACAGGGCTGGCCCATGGTACCTGTTTTTTAAATTTGATTGAAAAGCTGCTCAGTATCTTTTCATCTTCTTAAAGTTTCCTCCATGCAGAGGAGGCAATAGAGAGGATTCGAGTATGATTCTTGCTGCTGGTCCAGCAAGCCAGAAATGAACACAGGTGTACTCTACTTGTGTCTACACAGAGGAACCTGGGAGACGGGGAGTCGTAAATACTGAGACATGACTGCCACAACCCCTAGGTGTGGGAAGGAGGCTGGACCACGGTTCCCAAGGATGGTGGCTCAGAGGATGCAGAGACCATGGGGCAGCTGGGAGTCTGTTGGAAGTTTATACTTGATTTGAGACCAAAGAACCACAGCTCTGAGGTCCCGGCTCGGAGGTTAGAGAAGGTTCCTAGGTGAACAGGCACGGGATTGGCATGGTGCAGACAGTCTCCTGGCACGGTGGGCTCGGGGTAGCAGGGTTTGCTTGGCCACACGCAGGACTTCCTCCTTCCACCCCCTCCCATCCTCGGCGCCCTTGGACTTGCTTAGGTCAGTAGGTGTTCAGACCTACTGGGGGCCTGAAAGCACCCAGCTTGGCGCTCACCAGGGGTTAGGTTTGCTACACGACCGTGGGCAGCCACCAATGCCGCTGTCCCTTCCAGAGTATCTAAAGGAACAGCTGGAGCAGTACGTAAAGAAGCTGCAGATCGTGAGGGTGGTGCGGCAGGAGGAGCGAAAGGGCCTGATCACTGCCCGACTGCTGGGAGCCAGCGTGGCGCAGGCGGAGGTGCTCACCTTCCTGGATGCCCACTGTGAGTACGAGGGGCCCAGCCTGGCACCCGGGGGACCTGGGGATGGTCTGTTCCCCTCCCCCACCCCCTGGCAGACCGAGCTTGGAGCCAGGCTGGGACATCACCGAGGCCCCTGCTGTTCTGGGACTGGAGGTGGCTTGGGATTCCGCTTCTCGTGCCCTCTCCGCGTCCCGGTCCCAAGAATGTTTAATCAGCAGGCACTCACGGCCCTAAAATGACGGTGACCCCACAATTGCTGACAGTGTGCTCTGGAGCCCCAGACCCCCCCTCCCTCCTCTTGCTTGCTCTGTACCTCATTGTGAGCTCAGCCCCTCAGAGAGGGAACTGGGTTTGTATGGAGCTTTCCCATAGGGCCACATGGAGCCATAAAGTCCCCCCCCACCCCAAACCCAAACATCTCCCCACCATTGTCTAGAAAGAAATTGTTCCCTAGAAGCGGTGATATGTATTAGGGAAAGCTCTGGACTCGGAGTCAGGACACCTGGGTTTGCCTTCTGGCTCTGCCGCTAACTGCCTCCGTTTCCTCATCTGTAAAGTGGGAATGAGGATGTCAGCCTTACTCACCAGCAGATTTACTACTCCGAAGTCCAAATAACGTAATCTCTGCAGTTCCCTGAAGATCTCAGAGGGCTAGACAAGTGAAAGGGATTACTCTTCCACAAGCGGAGCTGAATCTGGAGGTGCGGTCCCTCTGGGAGAGGAGCACCCCCTTCTGAAACCCACACAGTGGATAGGTGGAAACCATGAAGCCATCCATCCAGGGCCTTCCCTGTGCTTTGGGTCATTTGAGTTGACCGTGTTATTCCCCCGAGCCCTCCATCCTTCCCTTCAGTTACCTCTACCTTTTGGTTGGGTGAGGGGGCTGGATAGGAGGGGCTCGGGAGACCACTCTATGCTTTCTCCAGCTGTGGAGCTTGCCTCCCGTTCTCTAACACTAGGGAGCGTGTGGAAGGTTCTCCAGTCCACCCGAGTCTGCCCGTGGGCGTGGGGCATGGGCTTGCCTGTGGGTGCGACCCTGACCGCTGTCTCCCGGTCCCGGCTTGCAGGTGAGTGCTTCCACGGCTGGCTGGAGCCCCTCCTGGCTCGCATTGCCGAGGACGAGACAGTGGTGGTGAGCCCGGACATCGTCACCATTGACCTGAACACTTTTGAGTTCTCTAAGCCCGTCCCGAGGGGCAGGGTCCACAGCCGTGGCAACTTTGACTGGAGCCTGACCTTTGGCTGGGAGGCTCTCCCCGCACATGAGAAGCAGAGGCGCAAAGATGAGACCTACCCCATCAAGTAAGGACCCTGGCTGCTGAGCCCCACGCCAGCCCCCAGGGGCCTGGGCCATCCTAACCTCCGCGTTTGCGAGGTGCTCTAGGAAGCCCTTGACATCTTTTCCTTAATCCTCATCCCCTCTGAGGTGGGTACTAGGATCAGCCTGCTGTACGGGTGAGAGCCCAGGCCCCCAGTGATGAGCAAGCAGTCAGCCTCAAATCAGGTGGCTAGCAACCGGTGGCATGGGAAAGCCATCCTGGCCGGCCTCACCCTGACTGTGCTCCTAACCGCAGCACCGCGCTGCCTCACGCCATAACCGCTTGCCCTTCCTCACCCCTCATGGTGAGCCAGGTGCTCACGAAGGGCTTTCTCTAGTTCCTCTGTTCATTCCTCCCCACACGTGGAAGGTCATGACTGGTGCCTGCAGAGGTGCTGAGAGCTGGCAGGTACAGGTCTTTGTGGAATAGCCCTTATGGGTCACCACCTTTGACAAATAGTTTATTGTCAAATTAGTTTCCACATAACACCCAGTGCCCATCCCCCCCTCCCCCCCACATCCATCAGTCCTCAGTTTTTGTCAGCATTCAAGAGTCTCTCATGGTTTGCCTCTCTCCCTTTCCCCCACCATTTCCCCCCTTCTTCTCCCCCTTGTTTCTCCGTCAAGTTCCTCCTAATCCTCCTATACGTGCAAACATATGGCATTTGTCCTTCTCCGCCTGACTTATTTCGCTCAGCATAACACCCTCAAGGTCCATCCATGTTGCTACACATGGCCAGATTTCATTGTTTCTCATTGCCATGTAGTATTCCATGGTATAGTTAAACCACATCTTCTTGATCCATTCATCTGTTGATGGACACGTAGGCTCTTTCCATGTTTTAGCTATTGTGGAGAGTGCTGCTATGAACATTGGGGTACATGTGCTCCTATGCATCAGCATTTCTGTATCCCTTGGGTAAATTCCTAGCAGTGCTATTGCTGGGTCTAGGGGAGTTCTATTGTTAGTTTCCTGAGGAAGCTCCACACTGTTTTCCAGAGGGGCTGTACCAGTTTACATTCCCACCAACAGTGCAGGAGGGTGCCCGTTTCTCCACATCCTCGCCAGCATCTAGAGTTCTCTGATTTGCTCATTTTAGCCACTCTGACTGGCGTGAGGTGGTATCTCAGTGTGGTTTTGATTTGTATTTCCCTGATGAGGAGGGATGCTGAGCATCGTTTCATGTGTCTGTTGGCCATCTGGATGTCCTCTTTGGAGAGGTGTCTGCTCATATCTTCTGCCCATTTTTTCACTGGGTTGTTTGTTTTTCAGGCGTGTAGTTTGGTGAGTTCCTTATAGATTCTGGATATTAACCCTTTATCTGATATGTCATTTGCAACTATCTTTTCCCATTCCGTTGGCTGCCTATTAATTTTCTGGGTTGTTTCCTTGGCTGTGCAGAAGCTTTTAATCTTGATGAGGTCCCAATCATTTATTTTTGCTCTTGATTCCCTTGCTTTTGGGGATGTGTCAAGTAAGAAGTTGCTGCGGTGGAGGTCAAGGAGGTTGTTTCCTGCTTTCTCCTCTAGGGTGTTGATAGTTTCCTGTCTCACGTTCAGGTCCTTTATCCATTTTGAGTTTATTTTTGTGCATGGTGTGAGAAAATGATCTAGTTTCATTCTTCTGCATGTTGCTGTCCAATTCCCCCAACACCATCTGTTAAAAAGGCTGTCTTTTTTCCATTGGATATTCTTTCCTGCTTTGTCAAAGATCAGTTGGCTGTATACTTTTGGGTCCACTTCTGAGTTCTCAATTCTGTTCCATTGGTCTATGTGTCTGTTTTTGTGCCAGTAACATACTGTCTTGATGATGACAGCTTTGTAGTAGAGGCTAAAGTCTGGGATGGTGATACCTCCCGTTTTGGTTTTATTTTTCAGTATTACTTTGGCTATTCGGGGTCTTTTGTGGTTCCATACACATTTTTGGATAGTTTGTTCTAGTTTTGAGAAGTATGCTGGTGCAACTTTGATTGGAATTGCATTGAATGTGTAGAGTGCTTTAGGTAGTAATGACATCTTAACTATATTTATTCTTCCTATCCATGAGCATGGAATGTTTTTCCATTTCTTTGTGTCTTCTTCAATTTCCTTCATAAGTTTTCTATAGTTTTCATCATACAGATCTCTTGTATCCTTGGTTAGGTTTATTCCAAGGTATTTTATGGTTTTTTGTGCAATTGTGAATGGGATCAGTTTCTTGATTTCTCTTTCTGTTGCTTCATTGTTGGTGTATAAAAATGCAACCGATTTCTGTACGTTGATTTTGTACCCTGCAACTTGGCTGAATTCTTGGATCAGTTCTATTAGGCTTCTGGTGGAGGCTGTCGGGTTTTCGATGTAGAGTATCATGTCATCTGCGAAGAGTGAAAGTTTGACTTCCTCTTTGCCAATTCTGATGCCTTTTATTTCCTTTAGTTGTCTGATGGCTGATGCTAGGACTTCCAGCACTATGTTAAACAACAGTGGGGGTCACCACCTTTGAAAAGACTGAAAACATATTAAAAGAAAACAGACAGGTGTTCTGCAGTGTGGTACAGTTGCCCTGAACTTTCTCGGTAAAGGGTCAGATGGCATATAGTTTAGGATTTTCCAGCTACATACAGTCTGTTGCACTTTATTCTCAGTTGGCTTGTTTTTTGTTTGTTTGTTTGCTTGCTTTTGTTAAACACCATTTAAAAATGTTAAGAAATCTTTCTTTTCCCAGAGTCTTATGAAGCCAGGCCAGCTTTGGCCCGTAGGCCATCGTTTGCCCACCCCTGACCCATAGGGTGGATGTTTAAAAGGGTCTGCCCCTCCTTCACCAGCCCTGTCCTTCCCTCTCCAGATTGCCTTTTGGTGTTGCTAGAGACCACATGTTTATTTTATTTTAATTAGCTATTTTTAAAGTAGGTTCCAGTCAGGGAGACCCTCAAGAAGAAGCAAGTTAGCTCCAAAGTGCTCATCTGGAGTCTCAGGGCTTTCTGAGGCTTTCCAGGCCTTACTTGGGGTGGCTTAGGATGCCCGGGAGAGGCCAGAGCCAGTGACGGAAGGCCTGCCTGAGCATGACAGTCTCCTGACTGAAATTCCTTCCAGAAAGTGGCACTGGGAGCCAACTCCTTACTTTTAAGGTGACAAGAGCATCCGTAGGGTAACCTAAGGTCAGGCTCCTTGACCAGTCAGTCCAGTGAGCACTGAGCCCCTGCTGTGTGTAAAGCACTTTGATGGGTTCTGGGTTTATAGAGAAGGTTCCAGTATCTCTCTGCTGGATTGTAGCACATGAGGCCACCCACTGAGGGCAGCAAAGCCCTATCCAAGCCAGCCTGGCCAGGGGGCAGATGCCAACAGCTAATGATTATATATAGACTCCTGCCCTTGTCTTCCTCAGGCTCCGACCCTGCCTTCAACCCGTAGCCCAGCCTCTCTTATGAGCAACGTGGTATCTGAAGTCTAGAAATGGGACGTTTTTGCGCATTTCCACTACAGTGGATCTGTACCTCCCTGCCTTTGTCTGAAAGCCAGAGGCTCCTTGGAATCTCCAAATGCTCCCGTTAGTCCAAATTGAGCTTAATTTTGCCTCGCTTCCCACTCTGTTTCCAGGAGCACCTGTTATCGGATTCCTTTGTTCAAGGCGGCTGGCAGCTTTCCTCAAAGCTAAAGTGTCTTTGCAGAGGGACTAGGCCCTACTAACATTGTGCCTTTCTAATCCCTAAAAAGGACCAGGGATTCTGAAACAGAAGAGGGTCCATCCAGGTCATAATGTTCGTTCGTTCATGGTTTGAATCCTGTTTCCAAAGACAGTTTCACACAGCCTCTGATAACTGAGTAACTACTATGCTCTAGGAACTTTGCTGCCCAAAAGTAAACAATGGTGCCTCTACCGTCTGCTGCTCAACTGAGCTCTCAGACAACGAGAGCTTTCTAGACTACGTGACTATGTGCACATGGGCCCTGGTGGCCGGTGTGTAATAGATCCTACCTTGAACGAACGAGTGAGTGCTTTTCAGAAGAGAGTGGTGACAGTTACATCTCTCCTTGACCTGGTCCCGGAAGGTGGAGAGAACACAATAAAGCTCTATAAACACTTGCTGAAGGAATAAGTCCATGGAAGAGGGGCTGTACATCCCAGGAAGGAAGAAGGGAGGTGGGGAGTGGCTGGGCTTTAGCTAGCACTGGGTCCTCAGCTTTCCATCCCAGGCTTCTATGTATCATCCCCCCAAAAAAAAGCTTCTCCCTCTGTCTCCCCAGGTCCCCGACGTTTGCTGGCGGACTCTTCTCCATCTCCAAGTCCTACTTTGAGCACATCGGTACCTATGATAATCAGATGGAGATCTGGGGAGGGGAGAACGTGGAAATGTCCTTCCGGGTGAGAGTGAAGAGGGCTTCGTGGGGGAGCCACGGTGTCCCGGGGGACAGCCTGAGGCCCTGTCTCTCAGGCAGCGGCAGCCTCAGGGATATCACATCTGGAGGTGGACTGAAAAGGGTGGTCGTTTCCTGTCCTGGTGTCCGTCCCCTTTCCTCTGTTCCCCCGATCCCCGTCCGTGGCAGTAGGACTTTGGGAATCAGACTGGACACGTGGATCAAATTACTGGGCAGACTTCCTCAGAGGGAAGGGATACCAGTGGTAAAGGGGCACCTGAGGACTGGTGACATCTTTCGTGAGGTCTGTGGACAAGCGTTAGGGTGAAGGTGGAACAGATCAGTCAGCAATCACTGTTCTTTCTCAAGAATAGTTGGGTTTCCCTTTCCAGGTTAGAGGGCACAGGCCCTGGTAGCCTTGGAAGTTTCCTACCCTCTGCTCAGCAAGCTCTGTATTACTGAAGATGGTGGCCAAAACTCTGGCAGACTCCAGAACTCTTGAGGGGTTCCAGGAATAAGGCAACTCAGGATTAGGTTAGGAAGGAAGAATTTCCTCTTCATGAAATCCACACAGACCCCCGCGCTGGGGGAGAGGTAATTAGCAAGTAGATGAGCTCGTTCATGAAGTGACTTCTCGCCGTGCCTGGCACAGATTAAGCACATCACTAATGCCTGTGTTACTATGACCATGGTCATGTATCTCTGTCCCTGCAGTACTAAGACAAATAACGACATACCTACTAATACAAAACCTAAAAAAGATGACTATCCTTGCTATGATTGATGCGCCAATGCTCTGTTTGGGCCACAGGTCTCTTGATTTGAGGGAGCTTGAGTTTCCAGTAACACCTGGGTAAGCTGATAAACTCCACATTCCCAGGTCAACACGCCAAGTGCCTAGAGCTTAGAGTAGGTATACAGACACAAAGTTAGCCAACTGTCCTTTCTCTGAAGTGGGCCCTGACAGCCCTCGGGACCCCACAAACTTCCACTTGCTTAAATCGGAGTTGAACTGACACCATCAAGCTAGGGATTGCACAGTCATGGCCTAGGAAGGGTCCCGGTCAGTGTCCTTTTTTTTTCCTAGGAGAGAGCAGCATTGCCCTGAGTTCTTAAACCTGGGACCCTAGTGCCCTGGGAAGACAACAGAGCTGCTTAGGGGGACGGTGACCCGCCATCCCCCCTGAAGGCCCTATCTTGTGTCCTCTTGTGGCAGGTGTGGCAGTGCGGGGGCCAAATGGAGATCATCCCCTGCTCTGTGGTAGGTCACGTGTTCCGCACCAAGAGCCCTCACACCTTCCCCAAGGGCGTCGGCGTCATTGCTCGCAACCAGGTGCGCCTGGCTGAGGTGTGGATGGATGGCTACAAGGAGATCTTCTACCGGAGAAATCTGCAGGCAGCAAAGATGGCTCAAGAGGTGAGAGGAAATGGTGCTCCGGAGGTGATTGGGTGAAGAGAAGTATGCAATCCTAGACCCCAGTCAAGGGCTGAATGGTAGAAGCCCACCCATCGCTACCATCTGGTGCCTCCCTTTACCCCCCAGACCCTGTGAGCTAAAGCCCAGAGATGCCAGATTTTGAAGGCTAGTGAATAGGAGGAGCTTTTGTTGGCCCCGCCTCCAGAGCCCTAGCATCTTAAGAAGGGCTTTGCTCTGAGAGGCTCGGAATTGAGCTCTGGGAGAAAACTGACAGGAACGTCAGGAGATGCAGGAGGAAGGGAGCTATGGGTGGGCATCCCAAAGCCAAGACAGTGGGCTTGGGGTTCGATGTGGGGCTAAGCCGGTAACCCCAACAGGGTCTGAGCAGGCATGAGCAGGAGACCCATTCTGGGAGAAAGTGGCCCCAGAAACTCTTGGTTACTTCGACCATACCAGAAGGTCAAGGCTGGTGGTACTCACCCTTTGGGGGTTGGCTTGGTTGACAGAAATCCTTCGGTGACATTTCGGAACGACTGCAGCTAAAGGAACGACTACACTGTCGCAACTTTTCCTGGTTCCTGCACAACATCTACCCAGAGATGTTTGTTCCCGACCTGACGCCCACCTTCTACGGAGCTGTAAGTCTTTTTTTTTTTTTTTTTTTGAATGTTTCATTTATTTCTAGGAGAGAGAGAGAGAGAGAGACAGCGTGAGCAGGGGAGGGTCAGAGAGAGAGGGAGTCACAGACTGAAACAGGCTCCAGGCTCTGAGCTGGCAGTCAGCACAGAGCCCGACGCGGGGCTCGAACCCACGAACCGCGAGATCATGACCCAAGCGAAAGTCGGACGCCCAACCGACTAAGCCACCCAGGTGCCCCTACGGAGCTGTAAATCTTAAAAACCAGCCTGCCCAGCCATCATCACAGAAGCCCCAGGAGTGGTCCAAGACCACTGACCCCGCAGATGGACAGCAAACAAGAATTGATTTTTACTTTCTACACTCCTTTATCCAAAGGAGTACTGGAAGGCCACTTTGGGCTTCTAGAGATAGCTCAAACCTTGCAAGGGGGAAACAGCCCATAAGCAGTGGTTCTCAAACATTCACCTGCAATGGAATCACCTGGAAGGCAGGTTAAAACATGGATTGCTGGGACACCTGTGTGGCTTAGTCAGTTGAGCATGACTCTTGATTTTGGCTCACGTTATGACCCCAGGGTTGGGGGATCGAGCCCTGCATCAGGCTCTACTCTGAGCATGAAGCCTGCTTGGGATTCTCTCCCACTCTCTCCCTCCCTCTGTTCCCCTCTTTCCCTCTCAAATAAAGTTTTAAAAAATACTAAAAAAATAAAGCAAAACACAGAATGCAGATTCAGTAGGACTGGAACGGGGCCTGAGAATTCGCATTTCTAACAAGTCCTCAGGTGATGCCGACGGCCTGGGGAACACACTTCGAGAACCATCACTCATAAGGAAATTCCCACGGGCCGAGGGCTTCTCCGAGGGAGCCGGCAGCCTGGGAGGTTGCCCCGCCTGCCTGTGCCCCGCCTCTAGGCGAAGCACCTCACTTTACTCTTAACTCCAGGCATCTGGGTTAATGAGCAGAGGAGAAAAAATCACAGAGGGGAAATCCAGCCCCGCCAGTGTATTCCAGTGGAACCCCACACCACAAACCAAAAGCTGCCTAACTGTGTCCTCCCGGCTCCCCTCTCTGCTCACCGTTCTGCAGATCAGGAACCTTGGCGTCGATCAGTGCCTGGATGTGGGCGAGAACAACCATGGGGGGAAACCCCTCATCATGTACGCCTGCCACGGCCTTGGTGGCAACCAGGTACGCAGCCGCCCCTCATGGGGCAGGCCCAGGAGAAGCCTGCTTCTTGATCAGCTCCTCTCTTCACGGGCTCCTTTCTCCACTCAGAATAGTCCTTTCCCGAGGACTGGGGTCGGGGAGATCCAGGGAGAGGAAGAGATAGCACCCCTGCCCTCAGAAGGCTCCCAGTCTGAGGGGGAATACAGGATACAGACAGACAAGGTCTGAAGGACGAAGCAGGGACACCCGGGAGCACTGGGCATCAGTGATAGGTGCTAGAGAGGGGGTCGGAGGCGGCGATTGTTAATCAGGAAGGCTTTCCGGAGGGTGCCAGCTACCGAGTGAGGTTTGAGAGTAACTGTGGAGACTTTCTGAGCACTCGCTCACCCACACTCAGCTTCAGAGCCTCCCCTGCCCAGAAGCTGCCATTCTGATTCTGTCACCCAGCAGTGACCCCCAAAGCAGCCATCTCTACTGACCTGTCACAGTTACCTGGCATCCTGGAAATGTACCCACGCTTTCCAGTGCCCAGTTCTTCCCTGAGGAACATCTAGTCCTCAGTCCCCGCCCCAGTCCCTCAGTGTTTGGTAAGTAGGAGGCACTTGAAACAGAGCCAAAGCAAGGAAAGGGACATTGAACACACTGCCAACCTATGCAATCCAAACAAAGTCATTCTAAAGCCATTTCCTGTACCACTGGCCTGCTGATGATTTTAGATGGTACATGGGCAAACGTTTTTCTTTTTTTTTTAGTTTTAAGCAAAGCAACTAGCGTTATCAAGCACATGATTTCACAGGTAATGCATAAAATGGAGCTAAGTTAAATTTTTAATGATTTTAAAGAAAAAATCTTAAGCAACGATTATTCCGGTAAAACCTCGGTATGGTCAAAGTTCTGAAGGCGGTGCGGGAATTAGGGCAGTCTTGGCACCCGGTCACACGCTTCCCTAGAAGGTCATCTATGGTCGGAATCTTAGGGGGGTTGGCCCTGCAAGGTAGTGGGCAAACTGTCCTCCCTCTCTGTCCTGACCTCTAGTACTTTGAGTACACAACCCAGAGGGACCTTCGCCATAACATCGCAAAGCAGCTGTGTCTACACGCCAGCGGCCTCACTCTCGGCCTGCGGAGCTGTCACTTCACTGGCAAAAACAGCCAAGTCCCCAAGGATGAGGAATGGGAATTGACCCAGGTGAGTCAGCAGCCCCAGAAGGCTCATCCATAACCTGGAGCCACGACTGCCCCCCTCCCTCCTCGTTTTCTGCATCTTGTGCCTGAGCTACCGTGTGGTGGATCAGAACGATGGAGAGAGCACGGAGAAAGTGGGCTTGGTCACAGGCGGGGGCCTCGGGGCCTCGGTAACGTCTGGGGAAGTCTTAGTTCTGGCTGATACAGAGCAGGGATTAGGAGTTAACAGTCCGTGGCCATCTCTGTCGTGGCTCCAGTATTTTCAGGCTGAACCCAACTAGATGAAGGTGAAGGCACTTAAGGTTCCTGCCTGGCCTCTGTGTGCCGGGTTCGCACACCGGGTGTGGTTAATCTTTCAGAGGCCCGTCCCGAGGAGGTGTTGCCCGCATGTGTCTGGCCCGAGCGCCGTCACTAGTCAATGGCCTGGGACTCAGACCAAGATCATTCTGACTTAAGAGCACCGTTCTTTCTAGCACACATACTGCCTCAGGGTATTGAATGTAATTTCTACAATACTCGTCCCAAACTAGCACCACCAGTGAGCCTCCACACCCTGCCCTCCCCCTGGCTTAGGGGAAAAGGAGCCCAACTCTGGGCCTACAGGGAAGAGAAGAGTCTAAATATGATCAAAGGCAGGAAGTGGGGGTACGCAGCTCGGGCACAGGCCTCTGAGCCTGGCCGTCCAGAGGAAGGGTTCCCGAAAGCGTTAGCCCCACGGGCCTGCCTTCCTCTCGTCCAGCCGCTCAGGCTGAAGCCAGGAGGGGCAATTGACACTGGATACAGGTGGAAAGTCAGGAATGCATCCCCCAACAGGGTATCTGGCAGCTGAAGAAAGAAATTTGGAAATGTCCTCTTTGGGCCCTGTTGCATTTCTCTTGCTTTTTATTTGTCATCCCCTATCTAACTCCCTCCCCCCCCCCCCCCCCCCAGTAGCACCATTAGAGATCTGAGGCCCAGATTGACCTTCTACTGTGTCATCTTTTAGGACCAGTTAATCAGGAACTCAGGATCTGGTACCTGCTTGACGTCTAAGGACAAAAAGCCAGCCATGGCCTCCTGCGATCCCAGTGACCCCCACCAGAACTGGCTCTTCGTCTAAGCTCCCCATCCCCCCCGTGGGAGTTCCCTCAAGCCTCTCAGGAAACAGGACTTTGGGGACCCTGATGTTTGAGAACCTGATTATCAGCTTCTCTTAAAGATGGGTTTCTTTTTTTTTTTTTTTTAAGTAAAATAAGGTATTTTATTATTGTTTTAATGTGCATTTCTTGGTGATTAAAACACTTTTTCCACAAGTTTTGTATACTGTTTTTAAATTTTTATTTAAATCCAAGTTACTGAGTGCCTGGGTGGCTCAGTCAGTTAAGCATCCGACTTCAGCTGGGGTCATGATCTCATGGTTCATCAGTTCGAGCCCTACATTGGGCTCTGTGCTGACAATTCAGAGCTTAGAGCCTGCTTCGGATGCTGTCTCCTTCTCTCTCTGCCCGTCCCCTGCTTATGCTCTATGTGTCTCTCTCTCTCAGAAATAAATAAGCATTAAAATAAAATGAATCCAAGTTAGTTAACATATAGTATAATAATGGTTTCAGGAGTAGAATTTAGCAATTCATCACTTACCTGTAACACCTAGTGCTCATCCCAACAAGTGCCATCCTTTTTTTGTTTGTTTGTTTGTTTGTTTTTGAAAGAGGGCGAGAGGGAGAGAGAGAGAGACAGAGTGCAAGTGGGGGAGAGGCAAAGAGAGAGGGAGACACAGAATCCAAAGCAGGTTCTAGGCTCTGAGCTGTCAGCACAGAGCCTGATGTGGAACTCGAACTCGTGAGCTATGAGATCATGACCTGAGCCAAAGTCAGACGCCCAACCAACTGAGCCACCCCGGAGCCTCCCAACAAGTGCCTGCCTTAATGCCCATCACCCATTTAACCCATCCCCCCATCCACCTCCCCTCCAGCAACCCTCAGTTTGTTCTCTGTATTTAAGAATCTCTATGGTTTGCCTCGTTTTTATCTTATTTTTCCTTCCCTTCCCCTGTCTTCATCTGTTTTGTTTCTTAAACTCCACATATAAGTGAAATCATACATTTATCTTTCTCTGACTGACTTATTTTGCTTAGCATAATACATTTCTAGTTCCATCCACATTGTTGCAAATGGCAAGATTTCATTATTTTTGATTGCCTAGTAATATTCCATTGCATATATATATATACGTATATATGTATATATATGTATATACCACATCATATTTATCCATTCGTCGGTTGATGGACATTTGGACTCTTTCCATAATTTGGTCAATGGTACTACCCAAAACATCGGGGTGCATGTGCCCCTCGAATCAGCATTTTGTATCCCTTGGATAAATGCCTGGTAGTGCAATTGTTGCGTTGTAGGGTAGTTCTATTTTTAATTTTTTGAGGAATCTGCATACTGTTTTCCAGAGTGGCTGCACCAGTTTGCCTTCCCGCCAGCAGTGCAAAAGGGTTCACCTTTCTCCGCATCCTTGCCAACATCTGTTGTTGCCCGAGTTGTTAATGTTAGCCTCTGACAGGTGTGAAGTGGTTTCTCATTGTGGTTTTGATTTGTATTACCCTGATGATGAGTGATCTTTTCATGTGTCTGTTAGCCCTCTGGATGTCTTCTTTTGCTGATGTTCATGGCTTTTGTCCATTTATTCACTGGATTGATTGTTTTTTGGGTGTTGAGTTTGGTAAGTTCTTTATAGATTTTGGATACTAACCCTTTATCCGATATGCCATTTGCACATATCTTCTCCCATTCCGTCGGTTGCCTTCTAGTTGTGTTGATTGCTTCCTTCACTGTGCAGAAGCTTTTTATCTTGATGAGGTTTCATAGTTCATTTTTGCTTTTGTTTCCTTTGCCTCAGGAGACGTGTCTAGTAAGTTCCTGTGGCCAAAGTCAAAGAGGTTGTTGGCTGTTTTCTTCTCTAGGATTTTGATGGCTTCCTGTTTTATGTTTAGGTCTTTCATCCTTTTTGAATTTATTTTTGTGTATAGTCTAAGAAAGTGGTCCAGGTTCATTCTTCTGCATGTCACTGTCCAGTTTTCCCAACACCATTTGCTAAAAGACTATCTTTTTTCCGTTGGATATTCTTTCCTGCTTCGCTGAAGATTAGTTGGCCATACATTTGTGCATCTAATTCTGGATTCTCTTTTCTATTCCATTGATCCATGTGTCTGTTTTTGTGCCAGTACCATACTGTCTTGATGATTACACTATTCATCAAGAATAGTGTACATCTTGCAGTCCAGAATTGTGATGCCTCCAGCTTTGGTTTTCTTTTTCAACATTACTCTGGCTATTTGGGGTCATTTCTGATTCCATACAAATTTTAGGATTGTTTTTTCTAGCTCTGTGAAGAATGCTGGTGTTATTTTGATAGGAATTGCATTGAATGTATAGATTGCTTTGGGTAATATTAACATTTTAACAATATTTGTTCTTCAAATCCATGAGCATGGAATGTTTTTCCATTGCTTTGTGTCTTCCAATCCTTTCATAAGGAATCCTTTATCTTACTTCATCTGTATCGTAACCCTGTGAGAAAGGCAGGAGGGGGGCCACCTTGCCAATTTTACGGATAAGAAGGCAGAGAGGCAGGGAGAGATAAAGGTGCCAGTCTAGTCCCACAGCTAGTGGATGGTGGGAGCGGAGACTGAGACTTGATTTGGAACGCTGAGCCAGCGTTCCTTCCACCACACCACAGGAACACCAGACAGCTAGCCATCCCCATTCTCTTTTCCCTCCGTGCTGATCACTTCTGACTGGCACGTCTCTAATGCCTAGAACGGCGGAGCCAGGTAGCCACGAGGGAGGCCGCATTTGGGGATCCTGGGATGTTCGTGTTGAAAGCAAGCTCGTGGAGCCAGTGATTCTCAGGTCTGAGTCCTAGAAGCCTTGTTTCAGTGTAGATGGAAAGCCGAGTGGCAATGGGTGAAGCGGAGGGCAGGGGAGGGCAATGCCCAGCAGCCCCTGAATCCCTAAAGGTCTGTGAGCACCATTTGAAACCATTATTTTAGTCCAGCCGTATCGTTTTCATATTGTGAAACCGAGGCCAAATGAGGTAATTTGTCCAATACCACATGGCAAAGTATTGGCATCCTGGGACCCTGGGAAGTCTGAGGAAGCAGGGACAGTGTGTAGAATTGAGCACAACTGCTTATCTGGCCTCATGTGCTGTACCCACGTGAAGCCTCCACGTGGAGCAGACCCAGCATGCATGTCAGCTCTTCTCCAAGCAAGCTGGACCCTCCCAACATGGCCACCTTGTCTGACCTAGAGAGCCCGCTGCCTAGAGGAGGACTCCCATTCCTTCCAGAAGGGCTTCTGACTTTCCATAACAGGCTGTCATCTTGGGCATTACCACATGAGGGTGCCATGGGACTGCAGCTGCCTCTCCCGGCACAATTCCCACTGCAGGAAGTCTCTCCCAAGTTCCTGACAGCCTTCAGGACCCTGTAGAGGAAGCATTCTGTGGTAGCCTAGCCAGAGGGAGAGTGGAGAGTGGCCAGGATATGGTCAGGGGTGGGGAAAGGAAAAATTCTTTGCTGGCAAAAATGGGACATGAGATCCCAGTTAAAATAAAGGGTTTATGGCCTCGGTAAAGGAAACTTACCATTGGTTCCTCCTCCCCCACAGTGTCCCTTAGCTGATCTGTTGGAGAATCAGTGGGTTCAGGCTGTATAGAGCCACACACGTCACATCCGAATTGTGTCACATCTCTGTTTCTTGTCCCCAGACATCCCTTTGGCCCCCAATCTAGCCTACATGGTGTATGTCAAGCACATGTGGACATGAGGAGACGTAAGATGAGGCTCTTGCTCCACGGAGCTCAGCCCCTAGCTGGAGAAGCAGCTGCAAGCAAGTCAGGACCAGCCTGGAGATATTCAGAGACATGCTAGGTGAGGTGGAAAGAACAATTCCTTCCATTTAGGGAAGTCAGGGAAAGCCTCACCAAGATGGTGACATCTGACCTTCGACCTCAGGGATGGGTCCTTAGGTGGGACCTCACACAAGCGACACTCTAGACTCAGAAAAGTCACAGAGAAACAAAGGTACAGTGGATCTGACAGACCAAGGGGACATCAGAGTGGAGGGGCGGTGGATATAGAAGCTAGAAGATGGGGACCACAGTATGACTTCCGTGGGGCCAAGGCCCTTTTGTCTTCATAAAAAAAATGTTTATGTTTTACAACTGCATTTGGTATAAAAATATAATCCAGGCTGATTGTATTCATTTTACTTCTTCTGATTTAAAAAGAAATTAAAACCGTGTGGGCCCTAAAAGTATTGTGGGCCCTAGGCCCTGTGCCTGCTGTGACTATGGGGTAAGTCAGCCTGTAGAACAGTGGGTTGGGGCCCAATGGAGAAGGCTTTGAAGGCCATGCTAATTTGGGTAAACCATAGGGAGCTGTAGATCCTAACTCTAATCCTAGCTCTGTCCTAGGTTGCATTAAGTATCCAAACATTTACCAGGCGTTGATTGTTTGCCATTTATCCCATATCCTTCATGCTCTCCATGCATCACTCAGCAGCTTTCCAGCCAATATTATGATATATGCCCAACCAAGGTGGCCTGTTTCGCACCAAGTTTCCTCACCCCTCTGCAAAAGCAGTATAATGTCTCCCAGGGCAGTCAACTAAGAGCAACTCACAGGGGATGAGAGGTGCAGCGGGAGGGAGAAAACACACAGCACACCTAGAGAGTAGGTCCAGCTTTGGGAGTGGGGGAAGGACTAAGGAAGATAGGGAGTCAAGAAGAGAGAGAGGGCACTGGTGGGGTGTTAGAAGACTTCATGGCCTCCCCTTAGCGGAGACTGGCCTCACCCTACCCCAATATCGGCACTATTCCTTAAAATTCACCCCTCTGATCTTTCTCGGAGTTAACCTAAAACCTTAACACCTTGCTTAAATCTTGCTTAAAACCTTGGTGCTGTGCTCCTATCCCCTGGTTCTAGAAGCCTCTTGCTGTAGAGGGTCCCTCTAAATGGCTGGTGCCTGTTGGGGATTGATTTCCTGCTTGAAGAATATCGGCTCCATTGCCAAAAATAGCTGACAAAAGTAATGCTGTAGAGAAGCCAAATAATACAGAAGAATACGAGTTTAAAAAGTGAAATTGAAGGGTGCCTCGATGGCTAAGTCAGTTGAGCGTCTGATGTCAGCTCAGGTCATGATCTTGCGGTCCGTGAGTTCAAGCCCCACATCAGGCTCTGTGCTGACAGCTCAGAGTCTGGAGTCTGCTTCAGATTCTGTGTCTCCCTCTCTCTACACCTCCCCTGCTCACACTCTCTCTCTCTCTCTCTCAAAAATAAATAAACATTAAAAAAAATTTTTTTAAGTGAAATTGATCCTCACAATGCCTCCACACCTATTGATTCATTCTCTAGAAGTACTAACTTCTGGATAAAAACCCTTTCATACCCTTTTTCTATGAATAACAAATACACAACCAGTACCATATCATCTGCCATTTGATATCTTCATTTAGGATCTCAAGGGCATCTTTTCATGTCAGTTCATTAAAGTCCAACTCATTCTTTTTGAAAGCTGGAGAGTACTCCATAATTTGGTTAAACCTAATTTCCTTAACCTTTCCCTGCTAATGAATACTTGGGTTTTTCCCAGTTTTGCGACAACTTGGTGACAAACTCTACCAGAACCCACATCCTCGTACATTTATTTTTGTGCCTGTGTTTCTTTCAAAAGGGTGCAATCCCAGAATTAGAATTGCTTGGTCAGAAGAAACACAAGGCCTCCGAATTTAAGCCAAAGCCACTGTCTATGTCTAACCCTAACAGTGAAAATAGAGTCTGACCAGCATGGGAGATGAGGCTGAGCGTGCAGATTAGGTGACGGTTGTTAGGGCCTTAAGTGTACTCCTGAAGACTGGTTTTTATGCAAATATAGATCACGTTGCTCTAGGCCAAGGCTATGGAGGTGGATGTGACATTGGCTCACCCTGGAGTATGTGATGCTGAGGGGTAGCCTGTAGCTGGCCCTAAAGGCCTCCTCTTGGGCTCCTCATCCTGAAGGTAGAGCTGGTTTCTTAACTCCAGAGCTGGTTTGTGTGTGTGTGTGAGCATGACCAAAGAGGCCTGATTCCCCAGCCCAGCTCCACCCTCTTCCTCATCTACTTTTGTTGGAATCCTGGGGGCTAGACTGGAAAGGGGGCCCTCCAGGTGCCACGAGCACCATAATGTGATGGCCCTGAACAGCTCTATGACATGGCATATAGAATTCCTCCCTCTAGGCCTCTCTTGTAACTGTAAGCATGAATCTTGAATTCTGGAAACTGTCTAGGCCACCAACCCCCACCCCCACCCCTACCCTCAGGGTGAACCAGATGACTCTCCTGCCACTCTCCAGGCTTGCTGGCTTCTTCTGCCTAAATCACAGCCCAGCTCGTGGCCCTCTGCTCCGGGGCCTCCCAACCCAAAGTCCTCTGCCCGCCTCAAGGCGCCCTGCACCCCCTCCTTTCTCCTCTCCTGACTTTGATGGGCAGAGCCTTTCATCTCCTGCAGGCCATGCTTATTCCTCGCCTGCTCCCTCTGCCCTCCATGCTCATAGCCCTCAGACTATCTCCCTTTCCTGGGGGCGCCCCCCTTCTAACCTACCTCACGCTCTCCGTCTCTGGGAGCCCTCTGGTTGGCTCTCCATCTGGGTCTCCCTAAACCCGTTTCTTAGGACCTTCCTCCACCAGAATTCTCTCCACTGACCCCACTTGGCTTAGCCTCCCTGCATTTATACCTCCATCCCGGAGGCATAGCCCACCTCCGTCCTTGGGCAGGGGGAGATTGCTAACTACTCTTCCCTCCTCCACGCCCACCCCTTGCCTCCACCTCCTGGTGCATTACAGTGTCACTGAGGACAGCAAGGCAGTGACAGACTGTGAGGGGAGCACCAGCCCTGGTTCCCTCTCTTTTTTCTGAAAAAAGAGTTCACTGGATGCCTTTCAACGGGATGCAGATGCTTAATTCGGCCCTGACCTGACCTTGTTCTGTCTTTGAACAACATAGATAAATTCAACAAGAAGATAAATGAGTTTACTTGAAAATAAATCTTTTCATTTGTATTTCCACGTCACCTGTGATTTTCCCCGGCCTTCCCTCTGCAGCCCTGACAGCTGCTGATAAGAGGAGTATAAAGAGGGCTTGGTTCATGGCAAGGGGGCAGTGGTCAACCTGGCCGGCAACATGCTACGCTTCTTGGTGTTCGCCACCCTGGTCCTTTATGGTAAGTGGGTCCTCTGGCCTGACTGCTCTAGCGCGGAGGATTTGAACAGCAGGGTCAAAAGCTATCCTTAAGTCCTGGCCCGCTCTCTATCCCCGGGCGAGATGGGACACCCTGTGGGTCTGGCAAAAACTTTCCCCTCCTGGAATCCAGGATAGGAAGAGCGAAGGCTGCTCTCCATGCAGGACCCTCTGGTTGGCAGGGCCTTGGGCCACAAAGCCGAGATGCCTCTTTTGTGGGTCTGGGCTTCCTTGCCACCCTCATCGCCAGGAAGACATCCTCAGCAGGTGTCTGGCTGGGATGTGCGCTGCTGTCCTTGCCCCCCTGGGGAATCCTGCCAAAGCACTGAATGTGTGGGTAGCGGGGTGGGAGGTCACTTAGGGCCATGGGATGGCCCCAAGCTAGGCTGAGACCACAGGGAGCCTCTGGGGCCTTAGCCCAGTGATGTGACATGGGTCCTTGGTAGTATGCCAGAGTCCTGGGGACACCCGGGGTTGGGGGAAGCAGAAGCCACTCTGACTCCCCTGCTTTCAGAAAGGGCTCCCGTAACTCTCAGCTGGGCCCCTCATTTGCTGGGGAGGAACTGTGAATTCGCAGACAAAGCATAACCGCCACCCTGCCCCCCACCCCGAGCTGCGAGCTGCCCCCGTGCTTAGTCATCACTCACTTTTCTTCTGCCCTACAAAGGACACAGCACCCAGGACTTTCCAGAAACCAACCCCCGGGTAGTTGGAGGGACTGAAGCTGGGAGGAATTCTTGGCCCTCACAGGTGGGTGCTCCTTCACAGCCCCAGACTTCCAATAGGACGAGCTGTGTGTGTGCTGGTATATAATACAACGTGCGTTTGTGCACAGCCTTATCCACAAGAAGCTCTCTAGCTGTCTGGATCCTAGATGTACAAGGTGAACAGGCCCAGGCTTAGGTGGAAAAAGCGCCCAGAAGGTTTGGGGAAGGGGATCTGAACACCAACCACACTCACTGTCCCAGGCACGCACCCAAACCCAAACCGCATGCCTGTTCCCAGTGGCACAAGCCAGACCGTGTGCCAGACCCGCAGCTCAGATCTGCTGAACCCTGACACACACGCACACGCACACACCGCTCCACACAGTGTGCCTCTGCCTTCAAGCACACCCCTGCCCCCCGAGTAGAGCATGTGGCTTACTTGACTATTTAGAGGGTTTCTACTTTCGTAACAAGGCAGCAAGGCTTTGATTTAAGCAATCCTGGATGTGTGAAACCGGCAAATTAACTGGCAAATAACCACACTTTGAGAGGAATCCCTACCATGAACATTCAGTTCGCTTCACCGAAGTTTGCATCCTAATTTTCAGAAGTAGAGCAATTGTGGAACATGTAGTGCTGAAGAAGACATGAGCTGATAAAAATGAATATTCCAGTGGTGGTTCTGAGTATTCCCTAAGGGGGTGGGGGGTGGACAGGGACAGGACATGTCTTGAGGACATTGGAGAGGGCACTCTGGAGCCCTAAGCCTGTGGGCTTAGGTGATGGAGCAATTCCACAACCTCGTTTCCTTCCAAGAGGGAATGCAGGTCAGAGGGCCTGGGTTCTTGGCCCTTTGCCAACAACCCAGAGTGGGGATGTCAAATACACTGTGGGTGTGCCTTTCCTCCCCCGTCCGTGTACACAGCAAACATCAGCCAACAGCGGAGCCCTCTTTCCTGCTGATCCCAGGGCTGTCTGCACACCCCTTCTCACCGCCATTCCGAGGAGCCACTGGCGACCGATCAGTAGCAACTGACAGGTCAAATGAAACCCTCTTGCCGTCTCTGGCCCACAAAGTTGGAGAGTGTTGTGAAGGATGGAAGGAATGGAAGGAAGTGTAATATGTAGTTTGGGACAAAGCCTTTTAAGAAACACCAACCTCTCCCTCCCCTCTCTCCTCCCCTTCTAGATTTCCCTCCAGTACCTCTCTGGGGGCAGTTGGCACCACACCTGCGGAGGGACACTCATCAGACAGAACTGGGTGATGACAGCCGCTCACTGCGTGGACAAGTGAGAAAAACAAAACCGTAGCTTGGCTGAGCCTCTGGAACGGGAGAAGTCTGGCCTTTCGGGAGGAATATGTATTTCTGAGCACTCAGGACAAGACTTTAAGGGGCCATTGGGGGGGCCCATGGAGGTAGAATATAAGGAAATGTACGGACTTTGGCACAGGGCAAGATTAGGTTCAAATGCCGTTTCTCCTACCTTCCTGACTTTGGATGACTTCCTGAGCTTCTCTAAGCTCTCATTCTCTTATTTCTAAAATGGGGTGATAAAACCTACTTTGCAGTGTTATTGTGAGGATTAAGTAGGTGAATATTTAAGTGTCCGGTCAACGCCTGGCTGGTAATCATTTTTTTCTTATGTGTCTTGAGCAATTGTTGTCAACTTTCAGCACGAATCAGAATCACCTGGAATGCACAGATCAAGGCTTCTGATCTGGTGGGTTCAGGGTAAAGCCTGCTAATCTGCATTTCTCACAAGTTTCCACGTTATGCTGGCTTTGCTGGCCCAGGGAACGTGCTTTAAACTACTGGCTTATACTTCCCTCAAAACCTCTCTGTGGGCTGAGAGCCATTATTTCATTTATGTTCACCCTACCTCTCCCAGGTTATGAGATACTCAGGCTAGGCTGTTTAGCTTGAAAAATGGGGCAGTGAAGTTGATGGTGGTTTTGGTCACTCCCACAGGCTAGTAAATTCGAGAACGAGAGAGCTTGTTACTTCCTCGTCTTCCAGGGTCTTTCCACTGCCCTCTGCCAGGGCCAGTGAAGATGAGTTCTTGTCCTAAAGATAATATGTGAGATGGTTTCCCAACTTTTCTCTAAGGGAAAAGAGGCTCCCCACCCCCACCCCGTCACTCAGGGCTTTCTTCTCTTCTCTTACTTCAGCAGCAGAATGACCTTCCGTGTGGTGGTTGGAGAACACAACCTGAACCAGAACGATGGCACAGAGCAACGTGTGAACGTGCAGAAGATTGTGGTGCATCCATATTGGAACAGCAATAACGTGGCTGCCGGGTAGGGTCAGGGCTCTGGGAGGTAGAGGCCTGACTGGCCAGCATCAGGGGCTTGGCTTCCCTTACATTCATTCAGAAGGACTCTGAGAATTTAGCTTTTTGGAAGGTTTGAGAATTCTGGAAGATCTAAGCAGGTTTGCATGATTGGGTCACCTGACACTCCTTCTCTGCAGAGTTTCGTGTTTCCATTTCTATTGTTATTTATTATCCATTTTATGGAACAGACCCCATCGGCAAAAGTAAATGTCTTAAAATGAATCTTATATGAGAAAACTCCTGCGAGGCCCAGCTGTAAACTTTTGGAAAGGAGGTAGTCAAAATGGTGGTCAATTCTCTGGAGTGTGGGGGGTGGGGAGCGGGTCGAAGTCACCGGGATATTTCTGCGGAGTTTTCAGACCCATGCGGCATTGTACATCTTTCTTCTCTGAGAATTCCTCTCTACTACCAAGATCATAGCACTCTGTTCCTCTCTGATTCCCCGTTCATAACTGAAAGCTATAAGCCCCACTCTCCCTTCCCCCATCCCAGAGCTGCGGAGGCCACAGCTAGACCGCAACACCAAGACCTCACCAGCAGGTGCTGCCATTAAACAAGTAATACCCTACAATCCAAATGTGTTTGAATTGGAAGCTTAGCGAGTCAGCCCTTTTTCAAAGCTGTTGGTTTCTAATTCTATGGGCACGCAAAGGCTGGTGAGGGCCGCCCTTCTGCTGACCTGAGGGAAGGCCCGAGCAGGCTCGTTTCCTCCTCCAGCTATGACATCGCCCTGCTGCGCCTGGCCCAGGCGGTTACCCTCAACAGCAATGTCCAGCTGGGTGCTCTGCCGCCGTCGGGGACCATCCTGCCCAACAACAGTCCCTGCTACATCACAGGCTGGGGCAGGACCAAGAGTAAGTCACCTACAGTGGTAAAACCCACCACATGGGCCTTGAGTAGATAGCTGAGCTTCTGGGCACGTTTTTCTGCAGTCCCAGGTGCTCATAGCCAGAGACAAGGAACCAGAGATCAAATAACTGGTGCATGAAATCCAGCTAAGAACCGGCCATGGAACAGTCAAGTCAGGGAGTCAGAGACTCTTATAACTGAAAAAATACCAACACCAAACAAAACACCTTCCCTCAGAGAATATTTTGTACCAGCCTCTCATTATTATATATGGGGAGACTAAGGCCCAATGAAATTAAAGGCCTTATATAAGATCATATGACTAGCTAGTAACTAGTTAGCTGGGGCCAGGACCTGGCTCTCACTTTGGTGGTCGTCACACCATAGTCGCTGGGCTGTAGGGCCGGAGGAGTGAAGGCAGAAGAGGCCTCAGCTAGCTCTTTCTGGTCGACACGGGAAGAGCTCTGGTAGGCAATGTCATCCAGACAACATAGAAAGGTAGGAGGGGCTAGGAGCAGAGGTGGTGAAGGGCAGGGACATTGGGGCTGACCCAGAAGTCTGTCAGCCAGGAGGCGGTATTTGAGCTCTGGGGGAGAGACAAGGCCTTGCTGTGAGCAGCTAATCAGCTGGGAAATCCTGGAGCTGAGAGAGAGAGAGAGAGAGAGAGAGAGATGCTTTTAATGCAACTACTCTCAGTTCACTTAATGTCATAGAGGTTCAACCTCCTGATCTATAACATGAAAGGGTTGCTGTAAGGATGCAAGGAAATAATTCATGTGCAAAGGCTTTGAAAAGTCGAAAGAGCCAGATAAAGGAAAGCTGCAGCAAGCTCGTAGGAAATGAAAAGAAGGGTGTGTGGTCCCGGTTCTGCTTCGTGGGGATGACGGTGTAAAGTGAGTGAAAGCAGGGGAGTTCTCAACAGATAAGACCATCCTGGTGACTTTAAAGCACTTTCCTTCTTTGAAGCAGCAGTAGGAGATTGGAGGTTGGTGGTTGGAGCTTGGGAACGGTGATCAAGGATGAGCCCTGAAGGAAGGGGCCGTAGCCTGCATAGAAGGCGGGGAAAAGGGGAGGATGAGGCGTGCCCTGGAAGGAGGCTGCCCTGAGTTCAGCTTTCTTGGGAAGGTTTGGGAGGGTGGGGAAGGTCTCCCCCCCCACTCCAGAGGGTTGGGGGCTGACCTCCAATGCTGTGTGTCTTGTGCAGCCAATGGGCAGCTGGCCCAGGTCCTGCAGCAGGCTTACCTGCCCACTGTGGACTACGCCATCTGCTCTAGCTCCTCCTACTGGGGCTCCACCGTGAAGAACACCATGGTGTGCGCAGGAGGAGATGGGATCCGCTCCGGATGTCAGGTAAACACATGGGGGAACACGCCTGCTCTGGCATCTCGGTGAGAATGAGTCTGTGCCAGTAACTCTATACTCAAGGAATCTCAGAGTCGAAAGGAATCCTACAATTCATCTTGCCTGTGCCCTGGCCTCAGAAGCTTGTATGTGGCCCAACATTGGTGTGTTGGTATATGTGTGCGGTCTTTGGAAGTTGTCACCTAGACTTCTTACAGTCCGGAGTGGTGGTTGTCACTGGGCATGAGAAAGCTCTGTTCTCATCAATCCCAGCTTTCCTTGTACCTCCTCGGCCACCAACCCTTTACCTCAATAGTATTCCCAGGAGTATATACAGGTGACTCTGGCAGGGGAGAGTGTACAAAATAGTGTTATAATCATTTATATATATAATAAATAGGACCTTCTATTTAGACAAGATTAATCTGCAAAATACCATCTCATAGATTCCTTAATGTGGTTCAACAAATGTTCTTGATTACCTGGTAAAGGCCAGGCACTGTGCTTAGTGTTAGGGATACAAATATGACTCAGACATGGTGTTTAGTGGACAAATGGCAGAGGCAAACATAGGAAAGAACATTGTAATACAACGTGAGTAAGTTGTATGTATAAAAAAGATGTGCATAGGGTGATACAGGAGCCCAAAGGATAGGCACTTACCTAGACCTGTTGGGGTCAGAAAAGACTTGCCTCCCCCCAAGAAAGTAACGTCTGTAGTGAGTCCTGATGGTTAAATGGGAGAAAGCCAGGCAAAAAGGGGAAAAGCTGTTCAGAGAAAGAGAAAGAGCATGAATGAGGGCATGGGCCCAGAAACCATCTAGAACACTTAGAGAATTACAGGGCGTTCCCGACAGCTGGAGCGGAGGTCAGAGCTCACAAGCCTCCAAATCTCCTACCTGTTTCACTATAGTCCTGTTTCTCTATAACCATTCTATAGAATGCTTTTTTTCATGTTTGTCTTCTACTCTCTTGTCAAATTTCTTTTTTTTTTTAATTTCTTTTTTTAATTTACATCCAAGTTAGTTAGCATATAGTACAATAATGATTTCAGGAGTAGACTCCTTAATGCCAGAATGCTTTGTAAATTTTTAAATGGCTGAGAATAAATTAACAAAAATAATGCCATGACACATGAAAAATACAAAGTTTTAACGTTCATTAAAAAAAACACATTTGTTTGGAATAAATACAGCCATACTTGTTTATTTACATATTGTTTATGGCTACTTTCATAGAGTTGAATAGTTGCAACAAAGACTATAGCCTGCAAAACCTAAAATATGTACTATTTGGCCTTTTACAGAAAATGTTTGCTGACGCTTGGGCTGGAAATAAACTATTACCATACCAGGGAATGTCAGGAGACTACACTGGAGGCAAGTAGGAGCCACAGGACTTAGCGCTTCAAGTGCTGTGTGCGGGGGAAGAAATCTTTCCCTTCTCCCTTCTAAGTTCTTTGGCTCACCTAATAATTAAATTGACAGAAGACAGATTAACAGGAGAAAAACTAGTTTAATTTCATATTGCAGAACCTCATAAAAATATGAGACTCAAAGACCTTTTAGACAAAGAAATAACAAACTTGTGAAGAATTGACAAGAGAAAGAAGTTTGGGCTTGATGTAAATTAGCGAAGAAACAACAGGGTGAAGTAACAGGGTTTGTTATATGGCCCTGCATTCCCTGTCTCCAGCCGGAAGGATGTCTCCTTACCTCCTAGTACAGGGAGGGTACCTTTCACATGGGAGATTTGTTTTCTGCTTTCAGAGGAACAGAGTAGGGTTAGAATGTCCTTCTTACATTGTCTGTTCTTAAGTAACTTTAATTCAAAATAATCAATATCCCAAAGTGGTGCATTTGGTGGCAGCCTGCCCTGAACCTCCATCGCATGCTTAGGGACATGAACTTTATCTTTCAGGCACTGCGAAACCATTAAAGAGTTGTAAAAAGGAGAACAGCATTATCAGAGTTGTCTTTTAGAGATATTGTCTAATGACAGGGTAAGCATGTCTTTGAAGAGTGTTAGGTTAGCCAAGAGACAGATTAGGAGACTACTGTAATTATCTAGGCAATAAACTTGAGGGCTTGAACTAGGGCAGTGGAAAGGAGGGAGAAAGAAGGAGGACCTGGAGTGACTTCCAGGCATTGGTTTAAGTGATTCAGAGGAAGGGTTTGCTGCCTCCAATGAGAGAAGGTTTATAGGATTTGGGAAAGAAGATGATGAACTTGATTTTGAACAAGTTGAGTCTGAAATCCCAGTGGGACATTCAGGTATAGTTAATCAGTAAGTAAGTAGATATAAAGAAACAGAGCTTGAGGGGAGAGCTGGGCTAGAGATAAGCCAGATGAGCTCCACCCCCCACCCCAGCCACCCCCATCCTGCAGGGGAAAAGTTGTAGAATGAGAAAAGAACAGTGAGTTGAGGGGAAAAAACTATGATAACATGAATACTTGAATGCTTCAGGGATAGGTGGAGGGCAAAGAACCCATAAGACCTAAGAAGGATTAGAGGTAATAAGGGCTTTCCAGAGTCTCAAGAAATACTGATGTGTCGTACACAGTATACAGTGCATCCAGGAGCCACAGTAGATCGTTGAAGTGCCTACTTTGGCAGCTGGTGGCTCACCAGTAACTGTGGCAAGAATTTCAGTAGAGTGGAGGGGGCAGAAGTTTTATTGAAGTTAAGAAATGAAGAGGCTAGAAACATAGTAAGGAATGGAAAATACTCTTCCAAGAATCTTGGGTGAAAGACAGGGACCAAAAAAAAAAAAGAGTCTGACAGCTTTAAGGAGGATGACAAATCATGGAGGGGCTAAATATAGTATATTAAAATTGAGTAATGTAATACGCAGAGAAGAAAGGATCTTGTAGAGTCAGAGAGAGGAAATAATGGACGGCACAAGATCTCAGAGGAGGAGCAAGGGAACCAAGAGCACAGGAAGAGAGACATCAAAACGTGCATGGATATGAAAGAGTGTGCAGGCTGGGTGGCTGGAGGATGGCAGGTGTTTGCATTATTTTTTCTATTTACTTATGATATAAGAGTCAGATTGAATGCTGATAATGAAGGTACAACGGTTGTATGGGTCTGGACTAATTAAAGTGAGTGCAACACAAGTGGCCTCCACGATGTTACTGATAGAGTGGGGTTGCAGACCACGCGATCACTAAGTGAGCAGGTGATTCAGTCCATTTTACTCAAAACCCAGTTGCAGGGATGCGTTAATCCAGGGCTGCGGTTTCCTGCATTACTGGAGCAGAAGGACAAGACTACAGACCAACTGTAAGGTCCGAGCTAAGTGGTAGAAGAGAAGCCAGCTGTAGGATGGTAGGCTGAGTGAAACAGTAGAATCAAATGATCAAAGCTTTTTGGTGAGCACCTAGAACCACAGAAGTAAGGTGACCGACTCATCCCAGTTTGCCCAGGACCTTCCTAGTGTATACTGGGAGCCCTACATGCAAGTAGAAATGGATAGGTAAGCAGTCTCTCCCAGGTCCTCACCAGCCAGCTTCCCCTATTACCTTAAGGTTTAACCTCTCTGAGTTAATTCACTTTCCCTCTGCTCTCCCAGGGTCTTGAAGTCTGAAAATGTAGAGTACTTTTTCTTTTCTTTTCTTTTTTTTTTAATGCTTTATTTATTTCTGAGAGAGAGAGAGAGAGCGAGAGAGAGAGAGAGCGAGAGAGAGAGAGAGAGAGCGCCAGGGAAGGTCACAGAGAGAGGGAGATCTAGGATCTAGGATCTGAAACGGGCTCCAGGCTCCAAGCTGGTAGTCAGCACAGAGCCCGACGCGGGGCTCAAACCCATGAACCGTGAGATCACGACCTGAGCCAAAGTCGGAGTACTTTTTCTTCTGCAGCTGCTCCAATTGACAATTCTCTGAGGCGGTTGTGTCTCCAGGTCCCTTGCCACTGGAGTTTCCCAAGAGTGTTTCTTCTGGGAATTCAGACTTCTGGGTCCCCCAACCTTTCACCTCAGAATGGATCCACTCATTCCCACTGAGCTGCTTTCCAGCCCTTCCTTCTGCCCTCAGATCCTCAGCCACACCTTCCATCTCTCCAGAGCCTGTTTCTTTTCAAGTCAATTAACATAAGATGTTAGTATAACATAAGATGATAGTATTATATGTAATTTAATGACCTTTCATTCCTCTAGCCCAGAAATACTCTCAACCCTCTATTAGAACTGGGATGGAAGATTTTTAGGTTGTTTTGTTTGATTTGTTTTGAGTGCAGTAATCTAAAGAAAACATCCTCTTTTCCTAAGCAGTAGCTGGGGTGTGGTATGGCTAGTTCCTTTTTAAAAGAATTATCCCCAATTTGAACTTTTGGTGTCTTTTCCTTTTGAGCTTTAATTTTTAATGAGGCTATATGTATAAAATTGCTTAAAGTGACAAATCAAACTGTGAGCTTAATAATGGAAAAAAACTATCACTGTGTTCTTTCCGCTCTTCTAGATCTCCCTCCCCAGAAGGGACCACTTTCAACTCTTGTTAGCTGATTCTTTTGGTGTCTACTTCCATACCTCTCTAAAAATAAATCCTTGTATTCTTACTTAATTTTTCAGTTCAGGCATTATGGGTGATGTGGGTCTCTCTTCCTTTTACACTATGTACCTGTTAAATAACAAAAATTCAACTGAGCAAATTTAAAGATCAAAGTGGCTTTATCCAACGTCAGGAATTGGGAAGCACCCCCATATAGCAAACAGAAAGGAGCTCCATCAAGCTGCAGAAAAGGAAAAGTTTTTAAAGGCAGAGAGGGAGCTGGAATAAAGGAAATTATTAGTAAAGAAGGCCTTGTTTTAGGCAAGGTTGTCCTCCTGAGGGAAGCAGAGGGGGTCTATTAGCAGATTACCTCCTGCTGCTGACCAGGAAACTCCAAGTTGGCTGGCTGAAGGTCATGTTTCTGAAAGACGCTGAAGCCATAGTTAGGTTAGGTGTTAAGTCTTGGTGGAGTTTAGCATAAGTGACTCCATTTTGGATCTACTGTCTCCTTAACGATTCCCTGCTTTTGATTAGATCCTCAACTTAACTGACAGCTATGATAAAAATTTACGGCATCAGTGCTACTCTCAGCTACTGCAGTTCTCATAGCACTTTACCCTGCAGTTCTCAGCATTTTGTGAAATTTTGTTGATCCTTTGTGTGGTATTCACAGTTCTTGTGGTTTTTTGCTTAATCTCTGTGACATTCACAGCCCACGGCTTCAAGTTCAATCACCCAAAAGTTGCTCGTTCTCTTCATTCCTTTTCTGGTGTTCCTGTTTTGCGGAGATCATTTGCTTGGTAGTTAGTGGCTGTGAACATGCATTTAAAACTTTTGAGAGAATAACAATGGACCAGGGAAACTATTATGTTTACGATAAGTAGAATAATTCCCAATGTTTAGAATGCATTTTGGAGCCATGGTCCCCAACATCCAAACCAATCAAAATCAAATAAGTCAAAGAAAGACCCTGTTGTAAGAGTCACCCTTCTAAGCCATGTGACTTGCTTGGTGATCTTATGTAGTTGAGTTTCAATTTCCCCAGAAGCGTTAATCCGAGCACAGTAGGTGGTATTGGTCACAGTACAGACATCCCCTCACTCAGCTAAAGATAATTAAGGACTATCCTATCATCAAGAATAACTTATGGGGAGCCGGGTGGTTCAGTTAGTTAGTTCAGTCAGTTAGAGTGTCCGACTCTTGGTTTTGGCTTAGGTCATGATCTGAGGGTCAAGGGATTAAACCCTGCATTGGGCTCTGTGCTGAGTGTGAAGCCTCCTTGAGATTCTTTCTTCTCCCTCTGACCTTCTCCTTGACTCGCTCCCTCTCTAAAAAAAAAAAAAAAAAAAAAAAAGAACTTTGGCTAGAGAGTCTAAGGATCTTTATTGGGCAGCTACTGTTTTAGCAGCAGATTCTACAATATCTTCAAGAGTGAAAGAGAGGTTTCTGATCATATTCTAATGAACATTTAGAACTCTATTCCTAACCAGGGAGGTGTAGCCCTGCCAAAGGAAGTGAATCCTAAATCCTGAATAATTCCTTTCTTAACTCAATTATCTAACTCGATGATTCCTTTTTAACTCAATTCTTTCTCTAACTTGGTCACATAAATCCAGGGAAATTGTACAATGAGGTATCTTAGTTCAATTGTGGAAAGCCTAGGGGCACAGTTGGATAACCTAAAAGGCATTTATTTCCTGGCTGTGTCCCAGCTGCCTAGTCATTCATAGGCCCAAGGAGAGTGATAAATACCGCAAAGACAACAACCCCTCTCGGGGCACAAAATACTTCTCAATAAGGTAGCACTGTTAATGGATTCATTCCAGGGATTGTTGCATTTACCCATTCAAACCAGGGATAAGTTAGGTCTTCTCTTAGCCTGAAATAAAAGATTGTCCTAGGTTCCAGAGGTTGCCCTCCTTAGCCATGGCCCAGGAGATATGGATGATGGCATTATCTTTCTAGGCCAGCTCCAGAGTGAAGGAAAGAAAGGGAAGAAGAAAGGGTTTTATATTTAGCTAAAGTATGAAGCCTTGATCTGGCATCTTGGGAGGAAGCAGTCTACCTCCATGTCAGCTACTTCTCTTTCTAATCACTTTGATTGGAGGATCTCCAATGTTTGTGTAGGACCAGATGTCAGCTGTGAGATGCATGTCAGAGTCCCTGGAGTCTGGCCACCATCTGGGTGGTGCGGAGGACCTGGTGTACTCCCTTCCAAAGAGATTCAAGAGCAGTCTTTGTTCTCATTGATTCCGAATCAGAAAGGTGAGAGAAAATTGGAAATGTTAGTTTGAAGAGTCATAGCCAGATTGTTTAGAAAACTAGAAGAATTCAGGATCCAGTTTGCAGGTATATAGTAGAACCTGGAAGACAATGAACAGGATTAGAATCTAATGCAGATAAAAGTGTAAACATAATTTCTTCTCTCTACACTTACCTTCATTTCTTACAGAAAAATTAACTTGTTTACATATTAAACTTTGCCTGATTATTTACATATGTGCAGCAAGAATAGCGACTGACCACCTAAGTTCTTTTTAAGACTGCTTTGCTGGAATCTTGTAAGCAAAGTGCCAGGTCAGTTTTTCCATGAGGTTTTATTGGCTCTGTAAAGTCAACCATTGTTTCTTTCTCCCTTTCTTTCTTTCTTTCTTTCTTTCTTTCTTTCTTTCTTTCTTTCTTTCTTTCTTTCTTCCTTCCTTCCTTCCTTCCTTCCTTCCTTCCTTCCTTCCTTCCCTCCTTCCCTCCCCTTTCCTTTCCTTTCCTTTCCTTTCCTTTCCTTTTTCTTTCTTCCTTTCCTTTCTTTTTAATTTTGAGAGAGAGAGACAGAGTGACAGAGAGACAGAGAGAAAGGGAGAGAGGGAATCCCAAGCAGGCCCCATGCTGTAGGGCTCATTCCCATGAACTGTGTGATCATGACCTGAGCCAAGATCAAGAGCCAGCTGTCTAACTGACTGAGCCACCCAGATACCCCAAGTTAATCTTAGTTTCTTAAAAGTGTCTGGTCATATCTGAGTCTATGCACAACTTTCTCAAATATGATATTCCAGTCAGAGCTTTGGTAATATACCCAATGTTTCTAATTGTGTCTTTTTACAAGGAGATCAGATTCTCATTGAACCTATGTAAACAACTAACTATAGTTTCTCTGGAACAACATGGGTTTGAACTGTGTGAGTCCATTATATGTGGATTCTGTTTTCAATAAATATGGAACAGTGTTTTTTCTCTTCCTTATGATTTTCTTGACAGCACTTTGTTTTCTCTAGCTTACTTTAAGAGTACCATATATAACAAATCTAACATACAAAATGTGTATTAATCGACTGTTTCTCTTATCAGTAAGGCTTTTGGTCAACAGTAGGCTACTAGTAGTTACATTTTGTAGGAACAAAAAGTTATACAGGGATTTCTGACTACACAGGGAGGGGCAGTCAGCATCCCTAACCCCCATGTTGTTCAAGGGTCAGCTGTATATTGTCATGAAAAGATTACTCAAGAGTTTTTGAATTGTGGAGGGATCAGGTAGGGAGAAAAACAAGTAAATGTTTCATCTTTAGTCACAAATATATATCTTACCAAACTGTTGGCAGCTTAAGAGAAAAGGTAAAAAGGTTTCCCAAAATCTGGAAAAGCAAAACATTAGAGGACCAGTAGTGTTTTAAACAAGAAGTCATACAAATGATAATCATCCCTCCTCCTCAAGTCACTCATGCCCATGTAATTAACATCTGTCCTATTTGAATCTGTTTTTCCCACCAGTTCTGGAAGTTCTCACCCAGTTCAGTTGCTTGATCTGAAAGTTATCAGAAACCTGTATTCTAGAGTACTTGTTAGATTCTTTTCCATAAATTTCTCTGAGGACAAAACACATTTGCAGGAAGCTTTTGTAAAATCAGCTGAGTAAAACAGTAACTCTCTGTACATGATAAAAGACTTAGAAATGCCCATTATTAAAGATGTGATGAGAGCTCATTCTTAATGGAATTGACAAAGGGACTTACCCATGGCCCTTGGAAATGGTGAGAAAGATAGTAAACTCATTGTCCACAGAGTGTCATCCCTGTTTCCTGGTGCCCCCAGAGCTGTCAGAAGTGTCCTTTGGTCTGGCCCCTGCCACCAAATCTGTTAAATAACAAAAATTCAACTGATTAAATTTAAATATCAAAGTGGCTTTACTCAATGATTCATGAGTCAGATCGCATCCCCTCTAGCAAATGGAAAGCAGTGTCATCAAGCTGTCGCAAAGAATGCCTTGTTTTAGGCAAGGTGGCCCTCCTAAGGGGTCTATCAGCAGATTACCTCCTAGTGATGACCTGAAAATTCCAGGTTGGCTTGTTAAAGATTGCATTTCTGGGAGAAACCAAAGCTACAATTAGGCTAGGTATGAAATCTTGGAGTTTAGCATAAGTGACTTTATTTTGGGCCTGCTGCCTCCTTTTTGACAGTTGGAACATTTTGGAAGAATGCTTTGTAATCAAAAGCAGCATTCTAAGTGAGATTATATATATTTCCATGTAGTCAACGGCTGCCCCTGGCTGTCTTCATTCTTCCAGAGATATGCTTGGCACACATAAGCGTGTGTATGCTTTACTGTGGGTCCCTAGTCTGGTGTTCCTGTATTTCTCTTTCTCATCTTAAACACTATTTGATGTTGCAAATCCTTCAGCAAGTTCATGAGAAAGGGAAGCAGTTTTTTTTCTCCTCCCTCTCCCTCCCCTTTTGGCAACCACCACTCTGTTCTCAGTGTCAATGAGCTTGTTTTGTTTTGTGTTTAGATTTCACCTTATATATGAGAGATCATACTGTGTCTTTCTCTGTCTGACTGGTTTCACTGAGCACACTGCCCTTGAGGTCCATCCACATTGTTGCAGATGGCACGATTTCCTTCTTTTTTAATGCCTGAACTCTTACCCACGATGTATTCTGAAATCACTTTTCATTTCCTGCAGAACTTTGTTTTCCCTGAAGTTAATAACCGTCTTTAAATTTGCATAATATATGCTCATTTTATCACTGATTCAGCTCCACGCTCTCCACTAATTTGTTAAGTGACTTATTTTACCCTCTCGTGACCCCAGTGTTTTGTGTCTTCGTATGGGTTTATTTGCATTCATCATGACAAGAGGCTTGGTGGGGTTTCTCATTTTAGAAACTCCAGAACTTTGGTTCTGAAAATGTTTGTTGATGATTTCCTCCCCTCCATTTTTATAGTGTCTTTCTAGAATGTCTGTTATTCACTTATTTACCTCCTTAGATGGTCCTCTTATTTTCTTAGTTTCTCTATATTATGTTTGTTTGTTCTACCGTAACTTCCAACCCTTCCAAGCTTTTCTTTCTACTATCATACTCATAATTTCCGAAGGCTCTTTTTGTTTTCTGCATGTTTTGGTTGGCAGTATGCTGTTCTTGCATCATGGGTGTGATATCAATCATAGGTTTTTATTGTTTGCTTCCTTCTCCCAGCATACTCTTGGCTGCCTTCATTTTTTGTTTATTTCTTTGTCTCTTCATTTTGAATTCTATTTTTATGTTAGAGTCTTTCTTCAGATGTTTGGTACTTCTTGACCATCTGGTCTTATTTCAGAGTGAAGTAATAAAAAGCTGATCAGTAGCTCTGAGCCTTTGGTGGGATTCATCCACGCTGAACTGGTCCGTTGGGTGATCTAGTGAAGATCTGGTGGTTTAGGCGGAGGACCTCCAAAGGCAGTAGCTTTAGGTCTTCCCTCTTGTGCTGGTCAGATTTTCCAGAGAAATATCTTTCAAGTTCCTGTCTGGAATTACAAAACTGGCATCTTGGGAGCTGGGTAAGGAGGAGAGTGTCCAAGTAAACCCAGGTTACTCTGATTCAAAGCCTGAGCAGGTAACCACTACCCAATGTATCATTTTCCCTCCCCTTCCCCCTGGTTTAGTTTAATGTGTTGACTACTTACCCTGTGTCTAAAGGCGAAGTCTAATTAGAACCACTGGCCTAAATGCTGGAGATGAAGACATTGTTAGGACACTCTACTCCCCCTACTCCCAGGTTTGATTTAAACCAATAAGAGCTACCGAGCTTAAGATGTTCAAAGTTCTATGCCAGCATTGTGGAGAGGAAACATATCAGGAAGACAGTCTCAGAAAGCAGTCTCAAAAAGCTCACAGATAGGTGTGGCAGGTAGAAACAAATTATGAAACCAAAACACAAGGCAGAACACGACATAAGTGCAGCAAAAGAAAGGATTAGGAAGATGAGATGCATCTGGATTGTGGGGATATGAAGGAAGTAGGGATCTGAATTGGAGCTTTAAAACTGCACAGGACCTGACATGCAGAAGCAGGGTATGAGCAAAAGCAAAGTTTCCAAGGTTTAAAAATGGAGTTTTCAGCCCCTCCACCTCCCCTCTGCAGGGTGATTCTGGGGGCCCTCTCCACTGCCTGCTGAACGGCAAGTACACCGTCCATGGAGTGACCAGCTTTGTGTCCAGCCTGGGCTGTAATGTCTCCAGGAAGCCCACAGTCTTCACACGCGTCTCCGCATACATCTCCTGGATAAACAACGTGAGTCCTCTCAAATGACAGGTTGAAACAGGATCACCTGGAGACCCATACACTGGCTGGGTTGGGGAGCAACCATTGGACAGGGAAGCCATCCTCTTCCTTACCGCACTCGTTCACTCCTTTCCCTCACCCCCGTGATGCGCTTTCCCTGAATAACGCTGCTCTCCTGAGCTCCCCTCTGCATACCCGCTCAGCAGACTTCACCTCAAATGTTTACTGCTTAGGGTAAGATAGTGACAACAGCAGACCTCAACCAGGCACGTATCAGTGCTGTCCTAAGTCAAAGCCGAGGGAAACAGCTTCAGAAAGTACTGCATGCTCCTGGGAAAGGGAAGAGTCACGAACATTTTCTCCCATGAGCTCCTTCTGAGGGCATTAGGAGACTTTGCTCTACCCTTTAGTGAGAGGTTTTACTACCTTAGATAATGCTTGAAGGTTAGGTGAGACTTGACCTACACTGACTTAGCGATAGCTTCACCATCATCCCACCTAGGCCCTCCAGCCTTCAAACACACTCTGGTCTCCTGGCATGAACTTCGATTCACAACCATTTCAAGGCCTATTCTTTACACCAGGTGCTGCGTATGTGTCTAGAACATTAATTGTCCTGAGACCTACTTCTACCCTCCCTCCCCCCACCCCCGGCACTCCCTCAGCTGCCCCCAGAAACCCAATGCGGGGCTACCCTCAACCAGGAGCCCTGAAGAAAACAGGGAGGTGGGCAGAAGTTACTGACTGTGGGCATATTGGCTTTTCCTTCAGGTCATTGCTTCCAACTGAACATCTTCCTGAATGGCTCGGCCTGCCCAAGATGATGCTTAGACCCACAGTAGGACTTGAGGCCATCAAGGAAAAGACAGTCTGAGAGACCCTTGAGCCGGATACAGAAAAGCAAATAAAACTGAATATACGTGATCATCCTGAGTCTTTTTGTTTGTCATTAAGCCCTCCCGAGGCAAGGCAGTCGTAGGCCACAAGTTGGATTTCACATTTCTGTGCTGGATCCTCCATTTACTGCCACTTCACAGACTCAGCCAAGTGGGAGTGGCTTTACATCAGCCTTTTTGCATTATTTTAGGATCCACCTGCCATTAACCTGCCCCTCTGCTCTTCCTCTCATGTACATTTGCCATATTCAAAGGCACAGAGTGCTTTCAAATGTTCTTGAGTGACTCCATGTGCCCTGGCTCTCCCAGGTAGGCTGTGGGCTCATTCTTCTTTTGTTCCCCCTCCAGCGCCTAGAGCAGGGGCCCACCCCCAGGTTCCGGGTGATTGCAACTACTAGGATACACTACAGAGGGGAGTGAGCGGAGGATTCAGCAGTAGGTCAGACACCAGCGGACAAAGAAAGTGACAAATTACAAAGGAGACCAGGAAGGCAAGAATAGAAAAAGAAAAAAAGGAAAAAAAAGGAGAAGGTGCTGACCAAAGAAAGGAAAGGGTTGAGCAGAACAAAAAGGGAGAAGAGACAGCCATACAGGCCCTCCAACTAAGTGTGAGTCAGCATGTCAAGGCCAGGACTGAAATAGACCACCGGATCCAGGCTTCTGTAAACCACAGAGAACTGGGAAGCTGATATTTCTGCCCCATCCTGGCCAGGGCTCAGTCCGTCGGAGTGGCCTACAATAGACTGAACAGGGAACTGAAAGAAGGCTAAGAAGTTGAGAAGCAGCTTTTCATAGCAATCGCTGAGGACCAGCCCAGAGGGAATAGGTAGTGAACAGTGTAACAGGAGAAACCGGCTAAGACTGGCCCTGGAACGTGTAGGCTGCAAAGTCAGCAGAGGCCTCTGGAACAGTGCACGCTCTGTATGAAGCCGGGTCGGGACGTCTGCATTCCCATCTCAGTTCCAACACTGAGGAACCGGGGAGCCTCTGGGCAAGTCACCAGCTTTTTCTGTGACTCAGTTTCCTCATCTAGTTAACTTGTAAAGATGGTCCCTGCTCTGAAATCCCGGGATTTGGTGACCATCGACTTCAGTTCCCAAGAGCCTGGCATGGAAGGGAGTTTCTTAGGAGGGAGTGGCTCGGCTGCGTTCCTGAGGATGCTGTGGACCCCTGCGAGTGACAGAGGTGTTGGCCTCCTTCTGCTAGTGACACTCCTGTCATTATCACCACCTTCTCTCAGTGTTCCCACAGTACTGCCAGCCTCTGGCCTTCTCCCCTCTTCTTCCCATCCAACCTCAAGTCCTTCTATTTTCTGCACTCTGCCCCCTCTAGACCAGCACCACAACTAACATCGAGAATAAACCCTAATGATGTAGTACCTGACAATTTTGTATCCGCCACTATTATTGCATTCAGCACATAATATTATAATCGTCTGATTACCAGCCTATCTCCACCTTCAGACTTTAAGCATCTTGAGGTCAGAGATTGCATTCTTCAAAATTTATCTTGGGGTGCCCGAGTGGCTCCATCGGTTGAGCGTCCAACTTCAGCTCCACTCATGATCTCACAGTTCATGGGTTCAAGCCCTGCATGGGGCTCTGTGCTGACACCTGGGAGCCTGGAACCTGCTTCGGATTCTATCTCCCTCCCTCTGCCCCTCCTCCCACTCATGCTCTGTCTCAGTCTCTCAAAAATAAATGAACGTTAAAAAAATTGGGGGGGGGGGCGCACCTGGGTGGCTCAGTCGGTTAAACGACCGACTTTGGCTCAGGTCATGATCTCATGGTTCGTGGGTTTGAGCCCCGCGTCGAGCTCTGTGCTATCAGCTAGTTCAGAGACTGGAGACTGTTTCTGAAATCTGTGTCTCCCTCTCTCTCTGACCCTCCCCTGCTCACGCCGCCTCTCTCTCTCTCTCTCTCAGAAAGAAATAAAACATTAAAATTTTTTTTTAAATTTTTTTTAATATTTTATCTTGGTTTCCTAACACCCAGCAATGCCTGTCACAGAGCTGACCCCGAGGGCAGTATGTCCTGGGGAACCGTCTGGAAAACAATAGTGGACAAAGGCCGCCCGCTTCCCTCTCCACTCCTCAGGACCTTATTGTGATTCTCTTCCCTTCCTGGAGGAATGTGACCTCTGCTGTAAAATCCTTGAGGGAACGGTTCCTCCAAAGCTACTGTTCCTAATTCCCAGGTATCCTCTCAAGTGAGTCACGAAGTAACTTCTTTTTGGAAACCTTCTCCCTTGGGAAGCAACAGATGTAATCTCAGCAGTCCCATCGCCACTTTCATGGTCTGTCTTCGCTCTGCGTCCACCCAATAGAGGCCCCAGTCTGTCCAGCCATAGAAGTCTGCTGCCCCCATCCCCCAGCATGGGCTTCCATTCTCCCCTCCGCAGTCCTTTTCCAGTAAGATCCTCTCCTTTCCTGAAGACCCCATTTCTACTTCTGGCTCAGCTGTTCCTCCCTTTCAAATCCACATGCGGAGTCCCTTACCTTTCTGCACTGTATCCCTACCAGTTCTGGCCTCTCCACAGAGGCTTCCCATCTGGAAAATCCCTGGAATGAGAAGTGTATTTTACAACCCAGGAGACCTGCCCGCGGAAGTGAAACACATTTCCAGAAGTGGGAAATACCCCGGCTAGGTGGAAATCGCAGTCTTTTCTACCCACATCGCTCCAGCTGTTTCCCCGTGCTGATGGTTTCGGCGAATAGGCTCTGTGGCGCCAACGTGTCTTGGCTCACGTTAGAAACTTCTCTTCCTGGGGCCGCGCGCCTGTCCCTCGGGGGGGGGGGGGGGGTGCACTGACGCTGGTTGAATGAGCGCCGCCTGAGGGCAGGCCCAAGTCTCCAGTCTCCTCCAGCACAGGTGCACCCCCCAGCCTGGGCTCCAGAAGGCCCCATAGGCCTCGGGGCCAAAGAGGCTGGGCTGGGAGTGGGCCTCCCGGCGAGGGGAGGCCGCGGGGGTCTCGAGCGGCTTGGGGCGGGGCAGCCAGGGCCACGGCCGGATGCGAGGCATGCTGGGAACCGCACTTCCTCCTCGGGGGCCTCCAGAAAAACCACAGGTCGCTGGGCCCAGGCTACCCGGAGCCGGCAGGATGGCGGAGGGCAAGGCGGGTGGCGCCGCCGGCCTCTTCGCCAAGCAGGTGCAGAAGAAATTCAGCAGGGCCCAGGAGAAGGTATGTGGCCGGGTCCCACCACCTGCCTGGCCAGCCGGCCTGGCTCTGCTAGAGAGCGGGGTGGCGGTGGGGGGTCCCGGGGGCCTGGGCCGAACAGAAGGGTCCCAGGCAGACGCGAATGGGAGTGGAATTTCCTTGAGCTACAAAGATTTGCTAGAGAACGGAGAAAACTGCCCGTTCGTGGGCAAGGATAGGGAAGCAGGGGAGACAGTCTCCGTCGGGAACCCTAAGCAACGCTCTGGCGACCCAGGAAAGGTGGGAGAAGGGAACCAACATGGGCAGATTTTGCCCTGGCAGTGCAGCCAGGGTGGTCTTTTACAGACGCTGAAATTGAAGGTGGCAAGAGGGGATTCTCCCCAAAGTCAGGGCAGCGCTGACCAGCTGTGCTGCCGGTGAGGACCACCTGGTCCACTAGGACCCCGTGCCTAACCCCGTTGGCCCCTGGGCAGTGTTTTAAGCTGATGTAAGCAGTAGCCCAGATCTGCTTTCTGTGCGTTAGAAAGTACACCGTTCAGGATGATGAAGGAGCATCTCTTTTTAGACTGTGTCCTTGGTTGGCTCTGGGTGGCCCTACTCCAGCACCGACATGTAGGTAGGCTGCCTACCTGTAACACTTCTCTACACATTATTTTTATTTATTTATTCATTCATTCATTTATTGATTAATTAATTAATTTATTTATTTTTGAGAGAGAGAGAGAGAGAAAGAATGAACTGGGGAGGGGCAGAGGGAGAGGGCACCGGAATCTTAAGCAGTTTCCACGCCCAGCCCAGAGCCGGGAGCCTGAGGCGGGGCTCCGTGCCAGACTCTGGGATCATGACCGGAACGGAGTTGAAGTTTAACTGACTGAGCCACCCAGGCGCCCTTCTACAAATTTTAATGACATTCTTGTCTTTTTTTTTTCTTAATGTTTATTTCTTTTTTTTTTTGAGAGAGAGAGGAGTGTTTGGGCAAGAGGGAGAGACAGAGAGAGGAGACAGAGAATCCAAAGCAAGCTCCACACTGACAGCACAGAGTCCGATGTGGGGATCGAACCCACAGACTGCTGAGCCAAAATTGGATGCTTCACTGGCTGAGCCCCCCAGGCGCCCCGTGACATTCTTGTTTCTGCCTGTCCAAAGTATGTCCTTCCCTTCTAATCTGAACCTCTGCTCTCTACGTATCAACACTGGTAGATGAATCTCCTTTCTCTGCCTTTGAGGAAGCCAAGGGCATATGAAAGGGTGGAGCAAAAGGAAAGATTTTGTGTGGCTGGACTTCATTACTTCACCTTGTTCTGACTTCACCTTGATCATGATTTCAGCCTCTTCAAAGGCTGTCTCATTACAAATCTGATAGAGATCAGAGCCTGTGGGAAGGTCTAGTTAGAAGTCATGGGCAGAAACAGGAGATACAGCTACACTGTGGGTTGGAAAAACAAAGAAAACCCAGAAGACAAAAAAAATTCATGGATAATAGTTACTTTTAAAAGACACAGCAATTGACTTTACCTCACCCTTTCACCTTCTCGCCTCATCCAGCCTATCATCAACACTATGCCCTTGGTTTGGGATTTCATTTCTTTTCTAAGCATGAAGTCCAAAGCCTTAGATAATAATGTCCCTGCTCTGGGCTTCAGATTCTGCATCTGTAAAATGAGAGAGGCTGTGTTCAGTGATTTGGAAATTCAAGGTGCTAAGTGAGAAGGGAAGAGGGCTCCTTGAACCTCAGAGGCAAATATTTCCCAAAGGGAGAACCAGCCACCCGGGTAACCTGTTCTTCCTGGTCTGAACCCTGAGAATGCAGAGAGAGGAGCCATCTCACCTCTGCCTTGGGGACCTTTCAGGTTAAGGCAGAAAACGGGAAGATGCTCCAAACCCAGACGTGAATACAAGGGTAGGCAGACATTGAACTTGGAGCGGGACAGCTGGCACCCAAGAGGCAATGGATGCTGCTTGGATAGAGTGGGAATGGCCTGGAATGAGGGAAGGAGCCCAGCCCAGCCTGCCAGAGTCCTTGAGTCTTGGGATATTATCAAAGGCAAGAGAAAGAGGGAGAAAGTTATAGTCCAAAGAAAGGACTCCTGGTACAATTTATAGTTTTCCTATAAGCAGTTGGCTGTAATCTTCTGAGTAATATGTAGTAACCACGGTGTCAAATAGATGTGTCAAATATCAAGTGCCTCTTATGGACGAGGCACAGGACTTTACAGAAGACACGATCTCTCACTTTATGAAGCCAGCACTCTCGTAATAGGATCTAATTTCATCTTGGCCCGTTGTGCATGTTATTAATATCCCACTTTTAGAAATGAAGAAAGGGGGGCGCCTGGGTGGCTCAGTCGGTTAAGCGTCTGACTTCAGCTCAGGTCATGATCTCACGGTTCGTGGGTTCGAGCCCCACGTCGGGCTCTGTGCTGACAGCTGGCTCAGAGCCTGGAGCCTGTCTTCCGATTCTGTGCCTCCTTCTCTCTCTGACCCTCCCCTGCTCACACTGTCTCTATCTCTCTCTCAAAAGTAAATAAAACATTAAAGAAAATTAAAAAAAAAAAAAAAGAAATGAAGAAAGGAGGCTCAAAAGAGATCGGCAAATGGCAGAACTGTCACTGAAACCCAGGTGTCCCGCCTTTGGATCCCAGCCTCAGGCCGCTCTCTCTACGAGGCTCCTGAGAAACCACTCTAACATCTGCGCCTGCCCACTTCCTGCTGCTCTTCTCTCAGGAGCAAAGCTGGGAGTAGAAACACCTTTTGCTCCGTCATCCTCTGAAAATCTAGGCGTGAAGGTCTAAGTGACTGTCACACACCAGGGAGATGAAGCAGTCCGCTTGTTTTATTTTCCAGTCTCCACCCAGACGCAACCCGAGACTGAGTTGTGTTTTTACAGTAAGATCCGTCTTCACATTTCAAGTGAAGGCTTTCACCATCTGTGATTGCTCTGTGGCAGATGTCTCCGAAGGAGCACTGTTTGTCCCCTCCTTTGCTGGTCTTTTCCTCTACTGATTTTTATTCAACTGGTCTTCCACAGGATTCTGTCAACAATACTTAACCGAAAAATTCCTTTGCCTAAGATACTGGGCTGGACTCAGGAAGGAATTTAGAGATGAGTAAGAGACACTGTCACCTTCCAGAAGCTTACAGTCTAGTGGGGAAAAAGGTGAAAGGAGTCACCTGAGAGATCTGCGTCTGTGGGAATTTAGAGGAGAGAAAGACTGAGGAGAAATGAGGGAGGTTTTATAGTAGAATTTGAGGTAGGAATTATGGCAGATCAGTTATTCCTCAGGCAAGTGCAGAGGGAGCATTCCAGCTGAGGAAAGGCCAGAACGAGGCAGGCAGTGAGTGTGGAAATTCATTCAGACAGAATAGTGACAGATGCAGGTGAGCTGGAGTACAGGCATTGGTGGCAGAAAAGGCGGGCCAGTAAATTTAGCGCCACGCTGAGGAAAAGCCTCCTTTTACATATATCCCGAAAATGAGGATTTCTCACAGAAACTGCAATACTGTTTTCACAACCAAAGAAGAAATTTTAACAAAATTCTGCCATCTCTAATATCCAGGCCCTATTCAAGTTATCCCAATTGAGAGATTTAACTAAAATGTAATAAATGATTAGGAGGAAGGGTCTGGGTAAGGTCTTACGGCCACCAAATATCTGCGGTGATTTCATTTTGAATCACTTTGTCTCTTGTTCCTATTCTTTCTCTCTAAATGCAGAATTCCTGGTGTAGAACTTTAAATTTTTTTTAATGTTTTATTTGTTTTTGAGAGAGAGAGAGACAGGGGAGCAGGGGAGGGCCACAGAGAGAGGGAGACACAGAATCAGAAGCATGCTCCAGGCTCTGAGCTGGCTGTCAGCACAGAGCCCGATGTGGGGCTCGAACCCATGAACCATTAGATTATGACCTGAGCCGAAGTCGGTCGCTTAACAGACTGAGCCACCCAGGCACCCTGTCCTGGTTGTAGACCTTTAGAGAACTGGCATTGGGTGGGTTTTCCTTAGGAAGTGATCCAAAGGTAGCATTTATTAACTCTTTCAGATGTTTGTTGAGCACTGTGCATTCCCTCCCATCAGAGAACATGCATTGTGGAAGAACGGCTAGCACACAGTTTAAGTGTCCGGCTATGTGGCCCTGTTGCCTATGGTAACAAAGGACTTTGGGTCCTTGGGTCCAGGACACTGGGTTATGCTCTCAGGGTGATCATACTCATCTTTCAGTCTCACAGTTGGTGGGGGAAGTGCTCAGCTCACACACTCACACCCCTTCTAAGCCTTTTTGCCTTGAGCCTTTTGGGGGTTGGTGATATGGGGCACACCACTCTTACTCTAGACGGGGTTGACTGCCCTGCCCTTCCACCTAAGAAGAACGCACCCCCTTCCTCCCCTCTCTGCCACACAAAGGAAGGGAGGAGTAGCAGGAAGGAAATGAGGGCTGCACTTACCACTTAGACAAGGTAGTTTTGCAACTTTCTGTTGTTGGGGGCAGGGGGAGCCAGGGAAGATGGCAGACTCTGCGTCCCCACAGCCAGGTGTTCAGTGAGGTGGAGTTAGAGACACAGACAAACATGGCTGAACTGGGAAGGAACTAGGCACTCATAGGAAGGG